GCTACCCGGACCCGTGCCAAGGAGCCTTGGTTCTGTTTCTTACAGGGCTGCATGATTTCAAGCTTACGTTTAAATCTTCAGTCCATTTGATGTTCATTTTTGTGAGTGGTGTGAAACGTGGGTTCCATTCTTTTATTTGTGAATACACACGTGATGAATACAGTTATCACAGCATTGCTTATGAAGAGCCTGTGTTCTTGGCGCTCTTGTCAAGTATTAGTGACCGTATATGCTTGGGTTTGCTTCTGGGCTCTGGATTTCGTTCCCTTTCTCTATCTGCCTATTTTTATGCCTGAATTACCGTTTTGGTGACTGTAGCTTAGTGTATAGCTTGAAATCAGGAAACGTGATGTCTCCTGCTTTGTTCTTTTTTCTCAGAGCTTCTTTGATTAGTTGGGTCATTTGTGGGTCCCTATAAGTTTTGGAAGAGAGTAAAACGGTTTAAATGACCTCATAATTAGTTATGGCACCTCTTGTGGGTATATCACAATATATTTGATCATTTCCTCATTCGTGGACATTGGTATCGAGTTTTGCAGTTGTACATCAGTTCGACCTGCATTTCCTGAGGATGGGTTCGAGTTGGCCTCGCCGGGGTCAAAGGATGTGAGTCTATTTCATATCAGATGGCACTTTACTCCCAGAAAGCGCATTCCTGCTGAGAAGGTCTTCCGACCAGATTTCATATATAAAGTTGGACTTCAGTAAAGAACTCTCCTTTGATATTTTTAGGGCAAAACATATTTAACTAGTTTGTTGCTAAGGTGAAATACAGCAGCAGTATTTTAAAAGTATCTTACTAGATAACTAGGAGCCTGGTGCACATGCACCGGTGGGGTCCCTCGGCCTGGCCTGTGCCCTCTCGCAGTCCGGGACCCCCCGGGGGAGGCAGGGATCAGGCGAAACGGGCAGCCCAACATTCTCTGAGGGGGCAGTAGTGCGCAGAGCAGCAGGGGGCCGGGGAGGAGCCCAAGCCCACGCCCAGGCCGGTGCAGTGCTGCTCCGCCATCCCAGCCTCCCTGCTGCTGGGTCAACTCGCTGAGCGGTGCTCCCGCTGTGGGAGTGTGCTGACCACCAGAGGGCAGCTCCTGCATTGAGCGTCTGCCCCCCTGGTGGTCAGTACACGTCATAGCATCAGGTCAATCAACTGGTTGACTGGTTGCTTAGGCTTTTATATATATATAAGTTGCTCTAATTCTGTGTTTAATGTTTTAAAAAGTAAACTTTGTAAACAAGCCATATCAATACAACTTATTTCCTTTAGCTAACACATTCTAATTAGTTTTAAACTTACTGGTGGATTGCATTAGGAGTTTATCTTCCAGAATTCTGACATATTTCTATGTGGTCCTTACCATGTGTGGTGCTGGTTTTCTGGCATGGTGCGGGGGATTAAGAAATATTCTTTATGAAATCAGAGTCTAAGAAAGTCTTCCAAGTAGACCATTTTTGAAGCCATAGTATATGAATTTTTTTTAATTGTGTGACTTGAGTATCGTTTATAATTATAAAAATTGATTCATGCCCTAGCAGGTGTGGCTCAGTTGGTTCAGTGTCGTCCCATGTACTGAGAGGTCCCAAGTTCGATTCCAAGTCAGTGCACATACCCTGGTTGTGGGCTCAATGCCCGGGTTTCAGACTCCATCCCCCGTAGGTGGCATGCAGGAGGCAGCTGATCACTGATGTTTCTCTCTCATAGATGTTTCTATCTCTCTTATCCCCCCCCCCAAAAAAAAAATAAATAAACAAAGGGGAAAGGGGCCAGGGGCTACCTTAATTTAAAAAAAAAAAAGACACAGTTGAGGGCAAAACATTGTGTTGGATGAAGAGAAGATGAAAGGTGGAGCCTGAGGCTGCAGGCACAGGAGCCACTGCAGGCTCTGTCCGGGGACTGGGGAGGCCGTGTCCCAGGGCGAGGAGGCCGTGTCTCAGGGCGAGGATGGGGGAAGGCAGCATTGTTGTGGAAGTGGGATGAATACCGTTAGCAGTTGGATCGGAGGTGCAGGGCGAAGGGGAATGTGTAGTCTAAGACCTCTGTAGGGATCTGAGTGGTGACGGGGAATGTGATTTTGCGATCCACAAGTAGCAGCATGGGGTGGAGCGAGGCAGGTCTGGAAGAGAAAGGGGTGGGTAGCAATGTACTCTGTGCTAATGCGGAGGGGTGCTGCTCGAGGAGGGCACTGGTGCTGAGTGTGAACGCAGTGGGACCCAGGCTGTGCACTAAACGCCATCAGTGCGTGTCGCTGTCCTCGGGCGAGGAGGGGCCGTGATGTACGAAGGCCAGTGCGCATCCAGCCTGGCTTCTCCTGGGAAGAGCGGGGTGTGGGTGTTCTCTCTGAGCTGCTGGCGGGGCCTGCCTCCCGCTGCTGATGGCTCAGCGGCGGGTTTTGTGCTCGGGACTGAGCGGGCTGCCCTCTGCCCTGCGGTGCCTGTCTGTGCCCAGAGCACAGCGCCCTCAGCGGTCCCAACCAGGCCCCCCGGCGGCGGGCGAGGCGAGCAGCCCGGGAGCCTTTGCCCTGACTGGACGAGCCTTTCTGTGGGTTTGTGGCGTGTCTTTGCTGAGGGAAGTGTCTTCTGCGGAGAGGGAAGTGTGGACCTTAGGACGGGTGCCTGACGTAAAGGACGGCCCATCTGGGCTCCGGGAGTGCTGGGAACACGCAGTGTTGGGTTCAGATGTCATTGCCTCTCGTCAGGTCACATCACTGAGCACCTCGCCGTGTGGTTTAAAGATGGAGTGACGCTCGGTCTGCATGTCCTGGGTGGGCAGCTGGGTGCCTGCTGCGGGGCTGTGTGACCCAGGCAGGAAGCACCTGCACCGGGTGACCTCAGGCTGGCGGCCACAAAGGTCGCTTCTGGCAGCTGCCGTCTCCGTCTGAGGACGTCACTGGGTCCACACAGACCGCCCGTCCCGCCATAATCCGCCGCAGACGTGGAGCCTGGGCCCCTGCTGAGAGCTGCCGGCGTGAGTCTCCGTGGACGCACATCTGTCGTCGCTGGTTTGGGCGTGGGTGGAAGAGGCTAGCTGCTCTGCGGGCGCTCACTGCACGGGCCGTGAACCAGCGCTGGCCAGCCGGTGACCCAGGAACCCCTGGTGGTCGGCCCGTGAGGTCCGAAAGGCTGGCGACCGCCCCTGCAGACTGCGAGCCCCGTATTCGTTTCCACCTCCCAGCTGGCCGCCGCCGTTGGCATCTGTTGTTGCCGTTGAGTAAGATGACACTCGCTTCCAGCGTCTTCCCTTCAGCCCCTGAGCGCCTGGAGCGCTCCCCCAGGGGAAGGCGGCCTTGGGCTTTGGAGCTCAGACCTGGGCTCACATCCCGTTAGGCCACTGCTTAGTTCGGGTGCCCTTGACCTCCCGTTTCCTTCTCTGTAAAATGAGTCAGTAAAGTGAATGGTGCTATGCTGCTATCATCACTATTATATCAACTAGCGGCCCAGGCCCTGGGCGGCTTTGGGAGGGGTCCCTCAGCCTGGCTTGCACCCTCTTGCAGTCCGGACCCCTCGCTCCTTACGCCCGCCTGCTCGCTGCTCCTCACCGCTCCCGCAGAAGAGAGAGAGGCTCCGCCTCCGCCGCTGCCTCTCCAGCATGAGCCCCGCTTCTGGGTGTGCGGCACTCCCCAAGGAGCGCACTGGCCACCGGTGCTGAGTGTCTGCCCCCTGTGGTCAGTGGGTATCAGTCGTTCTGCCGTTGGGTTTGCACATTAGAGTTTTAAGTCAGCGACATGTGTCCCAGCTAATAACAGTGACGTGGTCTTGCTACAGTAGCTGCGTGTAACTGGAAAGCATTCTTGTCGCTCCTGCCTCTTCCCGGGCTCCTACTTGCCTGCCAGGTGCCCGCCAGGTGGTAACAAGTGGGTACAGGCAGCTACTGAATAAGTGATGACATTAGCATGGAGAAGGTATGACTCAGTATTCCAGGATGCCATCCTTTCAGAGCTGATGTCAGTGTGAGGCCGTGCTGATCACACTGATGGGCTCATGGGGCGCTGAGTGCTTCTTCTGAGAAGCCAGAGGGACTTGGCCGTGGCAGGGAACGTGGTCAGACAGTGCCTGTTCTCACCGCGCCCCTCCTGCCAGAGGCCCTGGCAGGCGTGGAGGTGGAGTGTCTACCGCTGAGTGAACAGAGCTCAGAGATGGCAAGAATTCCGTCTTAAATGATGTTAGGGAATTAGTCACGTTCATGTTTTAAAAAGTGAACAGTTCCTAAGCACAAAGCCTTCCACTGAGGCTGTGTGTTAGGGCGGAGGAGGCTGCAGGTCTGTGAGGCAGGAAAGGCTGCAGTGGCAGCACAGGGGACCTCGTGCAGGGGACCCTGTGGCGCAGCTCGCCGCTCCGGCCGACACCAGCGTGTGCACAGACATGCTCCTGCTTCCACGCGCGTTCTCCGCTGGCAGACTGCGTCAGGCACGTGTGTCCCGCAGTGCCCCTCAGTCACCTGTGGCAGCGCTGACCCTCAGGCTCGGATTGCCCTCCAGCACCGGGCGGGGCGGGGACAGACCCCTGAAGGCCTCAGCAGCACTCCCTCCCCCACACCTCGCAGCTTAAAACATGTTAAGCGCTTCACAGCAAAAATAACAATTAAAGAAGTGGTTCTTCTTACTAATGTCTCTGGAGTATGAGAGCAGTATTATTACCAGAAATGCCACATACCAGAGACCGTAAGGCACCGTCACGCTACCAGCTAGAAGCACTGGCCGGCGCGGCCCAGGGGTTGCGTGTCGACCTGTGAACCAGGAGGTCACAGTTCAATTCCAGGTCAGGGCACAGGCCCAGGTTGCGGGCTCGATTCCAGTGGGAGGCATGCAGGAGGCAGGCTATCCATGACTCTCATCAGGGATGTCTCTCTCTCCCCTCTCCCTCCCTCTCTGAATAAACTGAAACGTGCTTGTAGATGAAGGAAGGAAGAATTGAGGCCGTGCGGCCGCGGCCCCTCGGAAGCTCTCCCGGGGCGGCAGCAGGCTGGTGGGCGGATGGCTGTTCTAACCACGTCTTCTCTTCCGCAGTCAGGGCAGTTCAGCGAGGACATGATCCCCACCGTGGGCTTCAACATGAGGAAGGTGACCAAAGGCAACGTCACCATAAAGGTACGCCCCCCCACCCGGTCACCGGGTGCAGCCGGGCTCCTGCGGGTGACTTCTTACGGGAGAGTTTGCCTTCTTAGCTGACGAGCGGCCTGCGCCCTCGTCCTCAGCGCGGCGCTGGCAGAGCCACTGCGGGGTGGTCCTGGGAGTGAACCCTCCTCAGAGGGTGTGGAGCTGGGACCCGTTCTCTCCCGACAGTCGTGTGTAGAAAATGAGTAATTTAGTACATTTGGGGCAGCAAATACAGTAACCAGTTTTCCCTTTCTTCTAGGCCTTAAAATGGAAGCTATAACAGGGGAAAGTTTTCTGGTTTAACATAACTTGTTTTAGAAGTTGCTGAATGCTGACCGTGGGCTCTGTGAGCGCCATGTTTCACGTGGGGGCTGGGCTGGTTGGCTCAGTGGCTCATGTGAGTCTGCTCGTAGGGCCTGGCCCTTGTGGCCATTCCCCCAGTCTGATACTCCCCCAGCGGGCCACTCAGTCCCCCAGCCCGGGGCTCCCCCAGCGGGTCACTCAGTCCCCCAGCCCGGGGCTCCCCCAGCGGGTCACTCAGTCTCCCAGCCCGGGGCTCCCCCAGCGGGTCACTCAGTCCCCCAGCCCGGGGCTCCCCCAGCAGGTCACTCAGTCCCCCAGTCCGGGGCTCCCCCAGCGGGTCACTCAGTCCCCCAGTCCGGGGCTCCCCCAGCGGGTCACTCAGTCCCGTGAGCCATCGGGTGCAGCTCCTCCTGCTCAGGCCGATGCTCAGGCATGTTCCCGGCCTCCGCTCAGCGGGAAGCTTGTAGGATGAGCACCAGGACCTAGTAACAGCATTATCGGGGAGGGGCCTTCTTGTGGTGAAATTAGCGCAGGGAAGAAAATCACTAGGTAGGAATGTTCCCTGTGTTTACAGAATTATTGAAAACCACTAGGCATTCATGTATATGCCCAATCAGACCATTAATCGTGAATAGATTCTGAAAGAACCGTTTTCTGTCTTGGCATTCAAATCTGGGTCCTGGAGGTTCTAATGTTATGTCAAAGGTATGCACAGCAGCCCCTTACCTGCTGTGTCAGCTGCCCACGGCCAACCGCTGTCTGACAGCATTAATGAGAAATTCCAGAAATAAACAGTTCAGATTTCCATTTGTGCCACCCCACTCTGTCCCACACGGGGCACGAATCGTTCCTTGGCCTGGCACATCCACACTGTATATGCTACCTGCCCTTTAGGCACTGATAACTGTCACAGCTGTTCTGTTTTATCAGTTATTGTTCATCTGACTGAGCCTACATTACAAGTTGCACTCATCACAGGCATGTACAGAGAGGGAAAGGGAGTAATGAGTTTGATACTGTCCCTGGTTTCAGGCATCCACGGGGGCCTCAGAACACATTCCCTGCAGAATGGCAGGACTGCTGTATTTTCAATATTGGAACTTTATTGGCAAACAGGCAGAACACGCATTGCAGAGAAAACTAAGGCTTTGCTCAGCAGAACTTGTTAGGTTTCGTGAGACGTTTTAAACGTGAGCTTCCAGTTTAGCAGGGGCCCCGAGAACCCCCGCGTCAGAGCTGGCTTGAGCTCAGGTGTTTCCGAGGGACGTGGCTCCTCGGGAAAAGGGGTGTGTCTGCCTGGTCCTCCTCCTCCCACACACGCGTGATCTGAAGTGTCTGTCTTGCTTGCAGATCTGGGACATAGGCGGGCAGCCGCGGTTCCGGAGCATGTGGGAGCGGTACTGCCGAGGGGTCAATGCCATCGTGTAAGCCCTTCTCACAACCAATTTGGGGCGGGAGCCGGGGAGCGGGGAACAAGTCAATTTAGGCTTTAAGGAAAAGCGATGTTTTAATACTTGGAGTAGTAATAGTCGTTCTTAGACGCTTCTTAGTGTAATTCATTAACACGACTTTAAAATACCTGGCCATAGAAGGAGAGTCTTATTTGTTTTTGTTCATGCTTCACTGTGCTAAGGACTATAAGTCTGTTACTATCATGTACTAACTCCTAAGACGGTCTGTTTAAAAGTATTTTGGGTGCTGAGCTTTTTATCTAGGGTTTTATTTCTTCTCCGTACCCTTTCCCCTCTCCCCCTCCCCCCTCTCTCTAGAGCTTTGTTTGATGAGCCGCTTTCTTGGTGTAAATGGTAACTGTGACCACCACAGAATGTGGCCCACTGAGATCATGTGTGTTTCAGTTACATGATAGATGCTGCCGATCGCGAGAAGATAGAAGCCTCCCGCAACGAACTCCATAACCTTCTAGATAAGCCACAGCTGCAGGGAATCCCCGTGAGTATGCGGTGCTCGCTCTGTCACACGCTGTACCCCTCGCCGTACCACACACCACTGTCAAGCTCTTAGGAAATGCTGGCTTAGAGTGGGGACGGCACCCAGTATGTCTATGTGCCTGTGCCCTTTGCTTCGGGGAGGCGGAAGGGTAGGCCTGGGAGGGGGAAGGGAGGAGTCGGTGGAAAGCCCGTCTCTGCTTCCCCTCCTTTCAGAGCAAACCTGGCAGCCAGGGGCTTTGTTCCCGGAGCGGCCTCAGCGTTTTCATTTCGCTTCAGACTCACCCGTTGTCCCAGCGTATCTCCCCGAGATATTCTATAGGCTGGAGATATTCTGTAGGCTGGGTCCTGAATTTTAAAAGCTTACGTACACATTCACATAATTAATAGCTTACAGATGAAAAATGGTTAGAAATTGTTTCCCTGCCCTTGGTTGGTAATCACATTTTGGCAAAGACTTAAGAATAGCAGAATGCACACGTGCACTGAGTTTAAGTAGAAGTTGTCAGCCATTGCTGGATAAAGCGTCTTTGCGGTGGGAGTAGAAAATGCTGATGTGAGTGGTAAATGGGTGAGCTAGGCCAGTCGTCACTCAGCTGCTTCACGATCACGGCGGAGGGGGGGCGGGTCCCATCCCATCAGCACCGCAGGGACCAGGCTGACGTGCTTCTGAGGCCAATCCTATGTCACGTTTACTCTTCACGTCTTGTCTTTTAAAGGTGCTCGTCCTTGGAAACAAGAGGGATCTTCCTAACGCGCTGGACGAGAAACAGCTCATTGAGAAGATGTACGTCTGCAGGGGCAGGGGCAGGGGCAGGGGCAGGGGCAGGGGCGGGTGTGGTGCTCTGAGTGGTTCCGTTCCGTCCGCCAGCCTCGCTCCGCCGCGGCTCGCCGTGGCCTGGGAGAGGCCCAGAGGAGTGAGCCGGCCTTTCAGTAGCGACCCTTCAGCTCAGCGATGAACGGGACAATAGAACCGAGCAGAGTGACGAGGCTGACGGCTGTTCTAAGTGCGGACTTACTCTTAGTTCTGCTTCTTCCAGGAACCTGTCTGCTATTCAGGATAGAGAAATTTGCTGCTACTCAATTTCTTGCAAAGAAAAGGATAATATAGGTAAGAGGTGGCGGTGTTTCTGGAAGGAAGGGTTACCCCGGAGGGGCATCTCATGGCATTTCTGTTCAGTGTCCCTCCTGTGTCAGTGGCCTCCCGTGCAGAGCCCTCCCTGTGGCTGTGGCCATGGCTCAGGAAGAGACGGTATCGGCGTGGTGGCGGCCGGTGTCCTGAGCCTGGCTCGCTGTGAAGGAAGCGGCCGTGGCCGCACACGGGGTTAAGCCAATGGGCTTCACTGACCTCGCACCCAGCTGTGCTCTAGAGCACAATGGCATTCTGGAAGGAGACTTCACGAAGGTCCAGACATTGTTTTCATCGACGGGACCAGCACATGCCTGCCTGTGTCCCTCTGCTGGAGGGGCAGCCCCAGCTGCCCTGTCCCGATGGCCTAGGCCGCCATAGCTAGCACCTCCCACTGGGCGGCTGGAAACAAGTCTGTTCTTTCAGGCTCAGGAGGCTGGACGCCCGGAGTCCAGCAGGGGGCGTGCGGGAGGCAGCCATCAGCGGCTCTCCTTTGCCGCCTCCATCCCAAGGCCTGCCTTGCTGCAGCCCCGCTCTCTCCTGGCCCTGACAGCTCTGCTGGCAGCCTTCACGGCGTCATCCTGCTGCTCCTGTTGATCTTACCAAAGAAACTTGGTTTCCTGCTCACAATTCTCCAGCACCTGCTGTAGACTGGGGAGTAAATCCCACATTCCCGGTACTGAGCATGGCACTCGGGCTGCCCGGCTCCCGTAGCCTGTGGTTCCCATCGAGGCCCGTGGTGCTCGGGGGGTGGGTTGGGGGGGGAAGATGGGCAGTGCTGGGCGATACTATTGGTTGTCACAACCGAGGGGGCGGGCGGAGTGCATTTAGTGGTAAAGGTCATGGATGTCGCAAAATACTCTACCGTGCCCAGCAGAATCCTCTTCCTTCCTCCCGGCAAGGCATGAACCAGCCCAAATGCCAGAGGGGGAGGGGGAGAGCCTCGCTGTATCAGTGAGGGTCCCCACCCCCACTCGCCCCTCTGCCTCAGCCACTTCCTATCACTGACAGCCGTCCAGGCGGCCCAGTGTGTGCTGGGAGTTGGCTGCATTCAGGTATTCTCTCTGGTGTTCAGTTTCTTCACTTCAGTATCAACGCCTTTTCCCTTTGTCTTAGATATCACACTTCAGTGGCTTATTCAACATTCAAAGTCCAGAAGAAGCTGAGAAGCGTCCCCAAAGTCTTCCGGTCCTCCTGGCTCAGACCCTAGAATTGCTGTCCGTCCCTCAAGTCCTCCCGGAACCCGGTCCTTCCTGAACCCAGAACTGCCTGTCAGAGTTCATCTCGTGTGCACTGCGGAGCTGTCCCCTCCCCGTCAGCCAGAGGTCACGTGCCGCGGCACAGAAAGCTTCCTGCACACCCCGTGTGCGGGCTTTTTAAAAACATACTTTGACCATCTTAAATCAAGAAAATTGCATATTTCTGTTCTGGTCTTTCTGGGCCAGATTTTATATTGGTTTTCGGTAAACGTCTATCTATTATATTATAGTCTAGTAGCTTAACCTGATACTGACTTGATACAGCATGAAGTTTCTAGTGCCACACACAGTACTTAGAGAACCTGTAGCCTGACCCACGTGGGGGTAACATACCGTCTACACGTCCCACGATGCATGTGAAATGTGTGACTGCGCCTGGGAGTTGAACGGCCTGCGGGCCGAGCAAGGCGCGGACCACACCCCGGGCCTGGGGCCGTGAGACCTGCGTGTGGGCTTCCGCCCCGCCCGGCCTCCCTGCGGCCTCCCTGCAGCGGCCTGGGCGGCTGCTGTATCTGTCCAGATCATCACTTCCCCGTTTTCCTTTTTTGCTGGTTCAGCACACTTTTTTAAGGGGTTGGGAACTGAAGATTTTCTCAAAAGCTTTCATGAATTTAGAGCATTCCGGCCAATATAATAAAACGTGTTGCGATCTCAGACTTGTTCTTTATCTCGGTGTGTGTCCGTGCAGCAGCTGACTTCTGTCTGGCCACGGGTCAGCGCTCAGCACAGACCTCACACGCCAGGGGTGCTAGTTCTTGTCCCAGTGGGAGGCTCGGCGCCATCTCCGTGCCGTTAGGCATCTGGTATGGTGACAGCTCCAGCTGCCTGCTTCATCTAGCCTCTGAGGGAGCCATGCGAGCCTGCAGGCTAAGGGATGATCCCTCCCCCCAGCACTGAGGCCTGCGCTGTTCCCTGCTCCTGTGAGGCAGACGGAGGTGCAGGAACGGAACACGAACCAGTTTTGTAGGGTGGTGACATCATTCAGGGGCATGCCGCTGGCTCACCGGCCCCTCCGTGGCAGGGGTGTGCCCGCCTGCATCCATGACCCCGTGTGTGATTGCTTTCTGTGGTGCAGCAGCGCTCATGGACAGTGTGTCTCCACGTGTGCTCAGCACTCATGTGGACGGCACATCTCCACGTGTGCTCAGCACTCATGTGGACGTCACATCTCCACGTATGTCGAACACGTGTGGACGATGTATCCACATGCGTTAAGCACCTGCATGGATGGCACACCTCCATGCGTGCTGAGTGCTCGGTGCGGCAGCAGGAAGTCCTAACGAGCAGCGGTTCTGGTCACGCCTGCCCGGCCTCCCCTCTGTCCCGCAGAGCGCGCTGTGGGGGCCACGTCCTGAGCAGCAGGTGGCCTCTCCGTTCTGTCCTGGGGCTGGGGTGGGGTGGCTCTGCGGAGGGACAGGTCAGCTGCTCCTGCGCTCAGCGCTCGGAACGGTCCCTGCGAAGAACGGCAACTTGCTGGTGCCTAAGAGGAGGGCTCGGAGCGGGGAGGTGAGACCGGACCGCCTGGTCCACAAGCTGATTTCAGGACGTCCAGACGCCGCCGCCACGCTCCTGTGCGCCCCTCTGCATGTGGGCGCTTCCCAGCCACTGCACTTTGTAAGCCCAGTTTGTTATTTGGATGGCTGTGTTTTCTGTCATTAACCTCTTCGCTTTAGTCAGGGAACTTGGGTTTTGGGGTTGTGTTGCCAGCTTTCACTTGGACGGTGCGTCCCGTTGGAGGTGTTACTCCTGGGGGAGGGCTGACAAGAGGGTTCCAGGGCAGGGCCCAGGGCTGTGCAGGAAGGAAGCTCAGCCCCCAAAGAAGTCAGCTGTTCCGTGTCCACTGAGTGAGGCTGATGAGGTGGTGCCACAGGTGCCAGAGCTGGTGACCCATTGAGATGCACCAAATTTGGGACTTTTAAAGAGCTAGTCACACATTTTATAATCAAAACAAAACTCAACTGGTAAACTGAAATCGCAAGACGCTTCGGTCAGTTCCAGATGAAACGATTTAACTCTGAAACGGTGATTCCCACAAAGGCAGGTTTTCCAAAGGAAGGCACCGGGCCTGTTGGCCGGCATGTTACCTGTGGCGCTGTGAGTGAGCGTTCATCTCATCAGAGCCATTTGCGAAGGATCCGATGGCCAAGCCGCCCTGCTTCAGTGGCTGAGCATCGGCCCAGGAACCAAGCGGAAACTGGTTCGATTCCCTGTCAGGGCCCACGCCCAGGTGGCAGGCTCAGGCCCAGTAGGGGGTGCAGGATCCATGACTCTCATCAATGTTTCTGTCTTTCTCCCTCTCTCAAAGTCAGTAAAAAAGTTTTTTAAAAAAGAGAGAAGTGCTGTTTTGTATTTTTACTCAAGAGAAGCCCAGCTTGGCTTTCCCTGTGTCTGTGCTCAGTCTGGGCAGCCCCTTCTGGTGGCCAGCTGGGTGTGTGTGTTACTCCCCTCGGACAGAAGTCCCCAGGGCGTCCAGCTGAAAGTCTCTTAGGAATCCGTGTAGCCATCCAGCCAGGAATCACTTTGGTCCTCATCACCCTTCTATCCTGGCGGTGTTTGAAGGAGAGAGTGTGGGGGGGCCTGGGAAGGGAGACAAAGTTAGTTCGCTTTACTTGGAGTCTAAGTTTAGATTTGCTGTAAAACCCGAGGTTTCTAAAACCAGGCCCTTTGCTCTGTCACGTCAGTTGTATTGGGCGGGGGCCACTCCGTGCTCTCGTTTTGATTGAGGAAGTGACTGCCTTGTGCCTTCTGTCCACAGAGGGTTTCATTTCACTAAGACCGGTGATTTGGTCATTCCAGCCCCGCTGGGTCTCACAGGTGGAGATGGGAGTGAAGTTTAAATTGACTGCAGCCCTAGCCAGTGGCTCAGTGGTTAGAGTGCTGGCCCTCAGACTGAAGGGTGTCGGGCTCCGTTCCAGTCACAGGCACGCTGCAGGTTCAATCCCTGGCCCCTGTTGGGCATGTGCAGGAGGCAACCAATTGATGTGTTTCTCACATCAATATCTCTGTCTCTCCCTTCCCTCCCACTCCCCCTTAAAATCAATGGAAGAATACCCTCTGGTGCAGGTGAACAAAATAAAAATAAACTAAATTGACTGTAGTGAGCACCATATTGTAACAGCCAGTTGGCCAAGTGATTTCCTTGAAATTTGCTCTTGTGAGGAAACGGCCACGTTCAGGATTTGAGGTTTTCCACGTGGTTGCAGACTTGAAAGGTCGTCCCAACAGGTACCTGGAAAGGAAGATGGAGAAGCCAGTGCTGGCCTCGCCACCGTCCCGGCCTAGCAGCCCTGCGGCATAGGCAGGGGCCTGCGGTGCTTCCTCTGATCAGTGAACTCCATCCAACATCCAGCTCTTCCTCAAAACTGGCCCTCCTGCCATGGCTCATTTGGCTCAGTGGATAGAGCGTCGGCCTGCAAACTGAAGGGTCCCAGGTTCGAATCCCGTCAAGGGCATGTACCTTGGTTGCGGACACATCCCCAGTAGGAGGCGTGCGGGAGGCCTCTCTCATCCATGTTTCTAACTCTATCCCTCTCCCTTCCTCTAAAATCAATAAAATGTTGTTTTTTTAAGCTGGCCCTTGTGCCACGGCCCAGGCGAGTGAGGGGCGGAACAGGCAGACGGGTCGCCGCGGTGCTGTGGCCCCAGCAGCAGGCTCCTCACCCCAGTGCCGTGAGGTGACCGGGCTCACCCCAGGCCTGACAAGGGCCTCGGGCCGCCCAGTAGTATGGGGGCAGGATAGCGCCCCACCTCCCACGCCTCACCGTCCTGGCGTGTGTGTAGGAAGGGATGCAGCAGAAAAAGAATTGTCCTTCGAAAATGTCAACGTCGCCCCCCAGGGTGGCCCTGTGGTTGAGCGTCAACCTATGAAGCAGGAGGTCACGGTCTGACTCCCTCCCGGTCAGGGCACATGCTTGGTTGGGGGTCTGATCCTGGGGAGGAGGGGGATGGGAAGAGGGAGACACACACACATACACACACACACACACACACACACGCATAAGGCAGCCAATCTATACTTCTCATCATTTGATATTTCTAGCTCCCCCCCCTCTGAAATCAGTAAAAAGCTCCCGAAAGAAGCAGTGCCGTGTTAAGTCACTCTCTCACCATTGCTGAGGACAGTTAGGCATTCCTAGCTTCCCAGAGCAGCCAGAGCCTCCCGTGGGAGACAGTGTAAACTGGTGTTGGCCTGGGAAGCTCCGGGACTCGCTGTGGGGCGAGGGCCCCCCTGGCCTGGCAGTTAGGCACCCAGACTCACCAGGCAGGTTCCAAACACTGAACCGGGAGTCCCCACCAACTCACAATGGAGGGTGTCTTCAGAGACACCAAATCCCTTTGACCAGGGCACCTTCAGCAGTCCATGCATGAGGGAGATGGCACTTGGGTCACCCCACCCCACGGAGATTTACGACAGTAGCGAGTAGAAGCAGGAGCAGGTTGCGTCAAACAGAACTGGAATTAGACTTCTAGCATTTTAGCCCTCATCCTAATTCAGAACCCATTTTCTTAGACACATTCCCCCCCCCCCCTAAAATAGGGCCTTGAACATAAGAAGGGCTGAGTTTCCTTCGTCCAGCAGCCCTCAGCCGGAGGAGTACCCAGCGGGGACTTGGACTAGACTCTGGTCTTGGGTCACCGAGTAGAAGGGTAGTCATGACCGGGCTCACTATGCATGGAGCCCTGTTGTGGGTACACTGAGCTAAAAGGTAATATCCTATCTTCACCATCAGCAGACAAGTTAAAAACCCCACCTGCTGGGGGGGAAGATGAAGGGATTAAGAAGTGCGAACTGGTAGTTACAAAATATGGGATGTAAAGTACAACATAGAGAATATAATCAATAATATTGTAACGCTCTTCCCGCCATCGGTCTGTGCCGCCACAAAGGTGCGCATGAATGTCTGGCTGATTCTCTGAAAAGTTATCAACCACGCCGAAAAGAGTGACCAACAGCAGGTTCTCCTGAGGCCGTGCTCCAAAGCCATCGGCCGGTTTCTGACAGTGATGGTGAGACCGGTTACATTGGCGCCTTTGAAATTACTGATGACCACAGAGCTGGGAAAATGGTTGGGAACCTCACGGGCAGGTTGAACAAGTGTGGAGTCATCAGCCCCAGGTTTGATGTGCAACTCAGAGACCTAGAAAAATGGCAGAACAACCTGCTTCCATCCCGACAGTATGGTTTCCTTGTCCTGACAGCCTCAGTGGGCATCATGGACTATGGAGAAGCAAGACGAAACCACACAGGAGGGAAAATCCTGGCATTCTACCCCCGCCCCAAGGCTGCCTCTCAGACATGGCTGGAAACTTTCTCGGGAACTTGAGGGTCTGCTGAATCAAGTGATGAAGGCTTAGATCTGGATGTGTTGAGCTAGTTTAGGACTGGGGTGTTGATCTGTGAGTGCCTTGGGTGGGGCCTGGATGAGGCTAGCTGACCTATTGGGAAATGTCTTTTGTGTGAAGTGTATCTTTGGACATGTGGAGGTATTATTGATATGAGAAAATGCTAAGTAACTGATTTACTATCTGAAAAGGGATTTACTATTGGGGAAAGGGAGGGAGGAAGAGACTGAATATAAACTGTGCACCTATGGATGAGGACAATGGGGGAGGGGAAGAGGGCGGAGGATGGGGTGGGAACCTGGTGGAGAGAAGAAATGAGGAACCTTTGTAATAATATGAACAATAAAGATTGATTTAAAAAAAAAAAAAAAGGAAAACCCTGAGGAGAAAGGGTTCTATTGAAGATACATCTTACATGTCTTGAATGCGTATTTTCACAGGCCACAGTGATTAGCTTTGATGTAGAAAATAGAAACAATAAGACTATTTGGTTATGTTAAAGGGCTTCATCTCCCTTTGCTGTTTAAAAAGTACCAAGTAATTTTATGGTACCAATAAATCTTGTTTATGCAAAAAAAAAAAAATCCTGGCATTCTTTTTCTAGGGATTTCCACATATATGGAAATAAAATTCCAATAATAATAATGTAACATCTACGTATGGTGTCCGGGTGGGGTGCTGGAACTATCCGGGGTCACTGTAAATGATGTGACTGTCCAACCACGCTTCCGATGCTGCACACCTGGAAGTGACATAAAATAATGTTGAAAGGCAACTGTAATGGGGAAATTACACACACACACACCTGCCCTAGAATGTCCCGTCCCTCCTGCACCTCCAATTGTCACCTCCTCGCCCCGCAGCGGGCGGGTCGGGCCACGTCTCGGTCCCACGTCCGCGGGGCTCCCGTGCCGCCCTCCCATTGGCTGGAAGTTCCGTCGCCCGGAGCCGCGCGGCCTCCACTCGCCACGCCAGCCCTGGGGACTCCGGCCCGCCCGGGGGCGTGGCCTCGCGCGGGGCGGGGCCAGGAGACGGGCGGGGCGCGGTGGGCGTGGCCGTTGCGGGGCGGGGCGGGGCGTGGCCGGGCGGCGGGCGGGGCGGCGGGCTCGGGGCGGCCTATGGCGCGGGAGGCCGCGCGCCGCGCCCCTCGGGGCCGGGCCGGGCCAGGCCAATCCCGGGCCACCCGGCGGGCGAACGCGAGGCCGGGCGGGCCGGGCCGGAGGGCCGGGGGCGGGCGACAATGGGCCGGTTCCTGGTGCGTCACCCCGGAGTTCCTTAAAGGGGAAGGAGCGGGCGGCGGGCGGCACGGGAGCGCGGCGCGGCTGTGGCGGCGGCGGAGGCCCCGCGCGCTGGGAGGATGCCCGCGGCGCCCGGCCACCATGCAATGGCGAGCGCTCGTCCTGGGGCTGCTGCTCCTGCGGCTCGGCCTCCACGGCGCGCTGTGGCTGGTCTTCGGGCTGGGGCCCAGCATGGGCTTCTACCAGCGCTTCCCGCTCAGCTTCGGCTTCCCGCGCCTGGCGGGCCCCGGCGGCCCCGCCCCGGGCCCCGCTGACCCGCCCGGGGGCCCGGCGGGGCCGGCGTGGCTGCGGCCGGGGCCCGGGGCGGCGGGGCGGGCCGCGCGGCGGCGGCCGGGCGTGTGCGGCCCGGCGCACTGGGGCGCCGTGCTGGGCGGCCGCGGCGGCGGGCCGGACGAGTACGAGCGGCGCTACAGCGGCGCCTTCCCCCCGCAGCTGCGCGCCCGGATGCGCGACCTGGCGCGCGGCATGTTCGTCTTCGGCTACGACAACTACATGGCGCACGCCTTCCCGCAGGACGAGCTCAACCCCATCGACTGCGGGGGCCGGGGGCCGGACCGCGGGGACCCGTGAGTACCCCCCGCCCCCGGGCCCGGGTTCCAGGGCGCCGGGTCCCAGCCGCCGATCAGGACCCCCGAGGCCTCCCGGACTCGGGGTGCGGCCGGGCCGGGCCCGGAAGTGGGGGACGCCGGGCCAGCTGGCCGCGCGGGCTCTGACATTTGGGGAGACCGAGGCTCAGGCCCCGGGGGCAGGGCAGCGCCCAGCGGTGGCCGGCGGCTCTGGGCGCCCATCTCCGCCTCCTCCGTGAGGTGAGCCGCAGGGCGTGAACCCCTGTAACGAAGTTTGGAAACAAGCTGCCCCTCCGGCCTGGCTTCTCTGTTAGAAATGGGGGGACAGAGCTGGAGCCCCCCTACTCCCTGAGGACCCGCTGCTCCCGGGGCTGGCTGAGGCGGGAGGAGAGGGGAGTCCGGCCGGATCGGGGTCCCTGGCGGCTGAGGTGACTGTCCCCTGGGCCCCCGCAGGCGGCAGGGCTGGGGAGGGGGCAGCCCTGTTGGCGCAGGCTGACTCCCGGGTCACTGCGCCGACCTCGGAGTCCAAGAGTCCAGCGCACCCGGAAGGGCTCCTGGCCCGGGAGGGGCCTGCCTCTCGCCGACCCTGTCGGGCCGGACGGGCGGCCTCCTCCCTCCTCCTCCTCCCTCCCCCTCCTCCTTCCTCCCCCGGTGGCTCCCGGGCGGGCAGACGGGAGGGAGCGGTGGCTGCTGTCCCTGGGCCCACACCCTGTGGGGTCCCCGGGCCCAGGGCGCCGGGTCCTGAGGGCTGGAAGGGAAGCCCGGCCCGGAACGGGGCTGGGAGAGGTTTTAAATGGTTTGTTTATCGGCACGTTCACGCCCCGAGTTGGCCGTTGGAGAGCTGGTTTGCAGTGAGGCAAGGTCACACCCCAGGTGAACTTCGGAGGACACCGAGGAGCTAGTGTCCTCCCTTTCCTGTCGGTGGTCTCATACATAGAAATGTCTCTCTCTCTCTCTCTCTCTCTCTCTCGAAAAAGTTTTATTACATTTTGAAAGCGAGCTGCTGGGTCTGTGCAGGTGGCGGGAACTCGTGAGTTGTCCTGCTTGAGGCTCCTGGACTCTCTGCCCACGTGTTTTCTTCTGGTCTTAACTTTTCAAGAAGCGTTACAATTGGAAAACAGGAAGCCCCAAAGCTCGCCAGGTCTCTTCCGTTGCTCTTTTATGCCAGCTCCTGCCCACACTCTGTTACGGAGCAGACGCAGGCGTGTGGGGAGCATGTATGTCCCCCCCTAAAGCTCATGGGATCCCAAGAGGGGTGGGAACCCGTTCAGGAAGTGCCCACTGTCTCTGCTGTTTCCTCAAGCTCAGAGACTGCAGGGCACTTCCTGGGCGGGTTCTTGCCACCCAGGTCCTCCTCACAGCTCCCTGGGCCCACCCTGCACAGGCCCACCCCGCACAGGCCCACCCCGCACAGGCCCACCCGCACAGGCTCCGCTGCTTTCTCCTTTCCCTTCGGGGTGGGCCCGAGGGGGCTGTGATGAGGACCTGGGTGGCTCGCACCATCAGCTGCGACTCTGGTGGTTGGGGAGCGAGTGGATGCCAGTTTTGTGGGCCTTCATGACCCTTAGGGACCTCCGGAGACCCGGACCCCACTCCAGCGAGGGGAGGCGGCCAGGGTCGGCCTGCTGGTCACACGGAGGTTATGGGTGGCACAGGCCGCGGTCCCGGGGCGAAGTCTGCCGGCCAGGGCTTCGGTTCCAGTGCGCAGTGACAGTGTGGGGCCTTGAGGTCGGGCTGCTTTGGGACACGTATGCTGTTGGCAAGCTCGTGGGGGCGGGGCAGGGGGTGGCGGGTGGGCGGCCGTGTTTGGGAGGGGTGTCGTTGGTAAAGGAGGTGAGAGGGCCTGGGTGCTGTGGCTGGAGTCGACCCTCACGCCGGACCCTCCAGAGTGCTCAGAGCCCTCTGCTCCCTCCCCTGCCTCCCTTAACTCCTCCCTCCCTCGCAGGCGCTAGCATTTCCAAGAAAAGTTTAGAACCCGAGCTTTGTCCTTCTGGCTCCAAAATAATAGGGCACATCCACACCCAGAGAAGCCACCTGTAACCAAACCTTTCCGGTCCGTTTAAAATCACAGTATTCCCGTGATTGTTGTATTCGAGTGTATCCTAGGGTTCGTTTTAAAGCTGCTGTGTGGCACAGCTGTCAGCGTCAGACAGAAAAAAAACGTCCAGAAACAAAACCTGGGCTGAACACGTGTTCCTTTTATTTTTCAGTTCCACTTTTTCCAGGCTTATCTGGCCATCTTGTTTGTCTTGGGGCGGGGTGAGCAGTTAACTTGGAGGAGTCGATAAAACCTGAACTCTAAAAATAGGTCTCTCTGACCCACAGCCGGTTCCTCTCACGTCCCGTGCCGGTCAGAGCTTCCCAACTCAGAGTTTCTTTCTTGTTTTTTTAATCCTCACCTGAGGATGTTTTTCCCATTAATATTTTTGGGAGAGTGGAAGAGAGAGGGAAAGACAGAGAGAAACATCGATGTGAGAGAAACGCATCGATTTGGTTGCCTCCTGCACCTGCCCCCACCATGGTCAGATGCGGGGAGCAGCCTGAAACGGAGGTACATGCCCTTGACCAGAATTGAACCTTGGGTCCACAGGCCAATGCTCTACCCACTAAGCCAAACTGGCTAGGGCCAAACACAGTTTCTTCCAGCCTTTTGGATATCATTGTCTTGCATCCTGTGGACAATAGTCCGGGTCTTGGGCACACGACCCTTCTCTGCTTTCTCCCAGCCCTATTGCTATTCAAACAGAAAGCACGTCTTAAGTTAGCAAACCCCAAACCGACCCGTTCCGAGGCGCCCCTGGCTTCGTGTGGCCTCGTCTTCATGCCTCGATCTTTCTAAGATCCTGCCCTCCCTGGGGTCAGGGCCCAGGCCTGTGTGATGCCGCTGGCCTGTTTGAAGGTGACTTTCCCCGATGGACTCGTTCTCCTTCCTCTCCCTGCGCCTGTCTATGGCACCGGCAGGTTCCTGGTGAATGTGGGCGTTGGTTTCATACGTGGATGTGAGTCTCCCATCTTCTCTGTTTGGGCGATTAACCATTCCCGGGCTGGAGAGGAGGGGGGCCCAGAGGGAGAGCTGGGTTCTGCGTCGCTGGTTCGGCCCCCGGTTCGGTTCGGTCCGGCGGGAGTGTGTGGCCAGCCCAGCCTGGCGCGGAGCACCGAGCTCTGGCGTGAGGACTTAGCCGGACCGAGCAGGTGGCCCCGGGTCGGAGCATCTCCAGAGAACACATCCGAGGGCTCACTGACTCTGTGGTTTGGCATAAACGGACTCACGGTAAGTGGTGGTTTAGACCAAGAGGGTTTTTTTTGGTTAATCCTCATCCAAGGCTATTTTCTCACTGATTCTTTTTTCCCCCGAGTGGAAGAGAAAGAGGGAAAGGGAGAGAGAGAAAAAAACAAAAACAAAAAAAAAACATCGATGTGAGAGAGACCAGGGTTGGGGATTGAACCTGCAACCCAGATATGCGAACCCAAAACCCTTCTGTGCTTGGGCCGTCGCTCTGACACTGAGCGGCCCAGAGGGGTGTGGAGCCTGCTCTTTTCTTTATTCCCTTCTTTTTTATTTTCCGGCACATTTTGGAAGTGTGGACCGAAATTTGATCGAAAAGAATTAAAAGTCTGAACGCATGCCTTAGCTCTCTGAGGGGTGAGAAGGGGCCGCCCGGTCATTGCCAGCGCGTGTTTTCACTGGGACAAAGTGTCTTTGTTCATTGGAGTGACAGCTTGGACATCGGGTCGAAAAATATTCTAAGACTGGGCCTGGCCCTCACTGTTGTGGCTCAGTGGATAGAGTGTCGGCCTGTGAGGGGGTCCCAGGTTCAATTCTGGTCAGGGGCATGTACCTTGGTTGTGGGCACATCCCCAGTAGGGGGTGTGCAGGAGGCAGCTGATGGATGTTTCTCTCTGATTGATTTCCTCTCTGTAAAAAAAATCAATAAAATATATTTTTTTTTTTTTAAAAAAAGACTGGGTCCAGCCCTAGCTGGTTTGGCTCAGTGGATAGAGCATATACCTGTAGACTTGAAGGGTCCTGGGTTCGATTCTGGTTCAGGGCACATGCTTGGGTTGTGGGCTGATTCCCCAGTGGGGGGTGTGCAGGAGGCAGCCAATACAGGATTCTCTCTCATCGTTGATGTTTCTATGTCTCTCTCCCTCTGCCTTCCTCTCTGAAATCAATAAAATAAGTAAATAAACTGGGCCCGTTGTAGGGGTAGCCTGGGAGGAGAGGCACAGTCAGACTGGGAAGGTGGGCAGTGATGGGCAGGGGGCGAGGAGGGTGCCAGGTGGAGGGACCGTGTCCGGGGGGTTGGCCAGAGGCCTCTCGGTTTCCGAGCAGCAGAGCCGTGAGGGTCAGCAGCGACCGACGCCAGAGCGTGTCCCTGCCTGCCTTGACCTCTACCTCGCACGCGTGTGTCCTGGGGGCTTGCTGTAACCCCGGCTCCCTCTGCAGAGGACCAGCTGCGACCCTGGGCGTTGGCAGAGAGTGGACGCCTGGCAGAAGCAGGTGGTGTGGCTCCTCGGCCGTGGGCGTCGGACTCGTGGCTGGTGAGGGGCGGGACGGCCGGTGTCTGTATGACCTTCTGCGCAAGCTCGTCTTAACGACGGCCACGGTGCAACCCATCCATGTTTCTCTCTCTCTCCCTCTCTCTCTCAAATCAATGAAAACATGTCCTTGGGTAAGGTTTTAAACAAGTAAGTAGATAAGTAGGTGGGTAGATAGATATAAGACATGGATCTGGAGTGTTTTTGTTGTTGTTTGTTTTTAATATACTTTATTGATTTTTTTACAGAGGAGGGGAGAGGGATAGAGCTAGAAACATCGATGAGAGAGAAACATTCATCAGCTGCCTCCTGCACCATCCCCCCCCCCACTGGGGATGTACCCACAACCAATGCACATGCCCTTGACCGGAATCGAACCCGGGATCCTTTAGTCCACAGACTGACGCTCTATTCACTGAGCCACACCGGTTGGGGCGGCCTGAAGTTGTGCTGTGCAGGCTGCCCTAGATTAAGTGGCCGAACAGGTCCAGCCCAGCAGCGGGGCCTGAGGAGACCAGGGGCGTGGTGAGCAGCCAGGCCCGGCGTGTGTCCCCGGGAGAAGGGAACGTGGTCTGGTTGGTGGGAGACCGGACACCAGTGACGATGGAACTGGGCTCTCCCTTTGGTCCTTAAACGTCACTGGATTTCCCCCTCCTTCCCTCCTTCCCAGCTCCTGTGGCTGCTTTCTGGGTGTGGGGTTGGGACAGGGATCCTGAGACTCTGCTCCCCCTCCCTGCCCTCTGGCCCTCGCACTGCTGTCCGTGCGGAGTCTGTTACGCAGAACTGCCCTCCGCCCCGCGGCCTCGCCTCTGCAGCCCTGACGCTGGGCCTCCAGGTTATTTCAGAAAGGGGAGCGGCGCCTGCCGGCGTGGCCTCGTGGCTGAGCATCAACCTAGGAGCCAGGAGGTCCCGGTTCGATTCCCGGTCAGGGCTCAGTCCCCACTAGGGGCGTGCAGGAGGCAGCTGATCAGTGACTCTCATCACTGATGTTTCTATCTCTCTCTCCCTTTCTGTCTGAAGTCAATAGAAATATATTTTTAAAAAGCAGAGAGGGAGCAGTGTTGGTGAGGGCAGGGGTGCGTTGCAGCTCTTGTCCTGGTTGTGTCACAGCCATTCTCAGCCTCCACGGGGCCACGGGGCTTTGGGGCGAGTGTGAGTGAAACGCCTGAAGTTCACTTATCCCCGAGGCCAGGGCAATGAGAAGCTCAGACTGCGCTGGAGGGTCACCCCTCTGGGTGTGGCCGGCTGGAGGGGCTGTGTCCCAGTTAGAGGACGGGGCAGGGCTCCCCTCTCTGCTTTGAAGGATCTACAGTCGGGGCTACTGGAAGCCAAACGGGGTGAGCGCTTAGGCCACGAAATGGCGTTCAAGACGGCAGGACTCGGCACTGCCCCTGCCTCTGCCAGGGTCTCCCTCCTGATAGTGCCCACGTGACTGTCCACACCGTGGCTGTTCGGGACACGCTCCGGGGTGAAGGCCACCTGAGAGGCAGCCAGGCCTCCGCGCTCCCCGCCTGCGCGGGCCCAGGTGGATGAGCGTGGCCAGCAGTTCGGGCTGGCGGTGCTGGGTTCCCTGTTCCTCCTCCTAACACAGCGCCTCCGTTCCCTTCCAGCTCCAACCTGAACATCAACGACGTGCTGGGCAACTACTCGCTGACGCTCGTGGACGCGCTGGACACGCTGGCAGTAAGTCCGCAGCCTCGCTGTTCTCCTCGCTAACCAGGCGGTTTGGGGGGTGTTACTCTAGCTCCCCGCAAGGATGGGATTCAAGGAAACCTGATCTCAAAATATATTCCTAGATTTCATAACTGCTGTTTCTTTTTCTTTTCTTTTTTTTCAGAGAGAAAAGGAGAGAGAGAGAGAAACATCAGTGATGAGAGGGAATCCTTGAGCGGCTGCCTCCTGCATGTCCCCCACTGGGGATCAAGCCTGTGACCCGGGCATGTGCCCTGACTGGGAATCGAACCATGACCTAATTCATAGGTCGGTGCTCAACCTCTGAGCCACACCGGCCAGGCCTTCACTGTGGTTTCTTTTCGTGGCCTTGATGCCCAGAGCAAGAAAAGTATTGCAGATGAAATGAGGGAAAATGTGATGATTTGGGGAAACCCATTTTCCTCCGTTTTGCACTATTTTATTGCCCCAGAGAATCCAAAGAGCATTTATTAGCGCGACAGTGACCGTAACCTTCCCGGCAGGAAAAGGGAAGTTTCAGGAGGAAAAGACAGGAGCGGAGGGTTGGTCAGTCCCCTGACCCCTTGCGGCCCTGAGCTCAAGCCTCTGCCAGGGCCTGACCTCGCGGCCAGTGCTCTGGACAGACCCACAGGCTCCCCTCAGTGCTGCCCGTGCCCCCCACTGACGGGAACAGGACGCCTGTGACCGGCTGCAGAGCAGGTGGCGCTATGGGCTCTGGCAGGTGCTCAGTGCCAGGCCTCCGGCCTCTGCCACCTGGTGCGGCTCCCAGGGGACGGCTCAGGTCTCTGCCTGTGTCCAGCCAGCCTTCGCCCTTAGCACAGTCCTTCTGGCCTGAGCTTGTGAGCGGATAGAGCGTGGGAGTGCGTTGTGCAATGCTGGCGAGGTTTGCATCAGCGCCGGCCAGCACATCGCTCGCAGGACAGGCGCCAGAACGGGCCGGAGCTGGAGAGCTCATTGGCATTCCACTGGGCCCCATGGAATGGGGAGCCGGGAGGAGCTGCCAGGCTGAGGTTGCCAAGCCCTTGTCTCCCCGGACCTCCTCCTGCATCTCTGATCCACCCCCTCGTCCGCCACCCCAACCCCATGTGCCCAGACCAGTCCGTTTGGCTGGACTCAGCTGTCTGGGGACTGAGCTGTGGGAGGACTGAGCTGTCGGGGGCTGAGCTGTCGGGGGCCGAGCTGTCGGGGACTGAGCTGTGGGAGTTAGCAGGCTGACTCAGCCACAAGGGCTGCTTACCTGCGTCCCAGGACTCCGGCACAGCTGGAGGTCCGCCCGCGCCCTGCCTGCTTTCCGTCCCAGCCGCGTGGGGCGTTCAGGCCTTCTCCTTGTCACCCACCGCACTCCCACCCCTAGCAGTGTGTGTGCAAAGTGACTTTCTCCGGCGCCAGTGGGTCCCAGCCGGATCCCAAGGGCATTCTCTCAGAGAAGAGGAGTCTGTCCCCAGGGAACTGGCAGAAGTCTGCACGACTGTCCCAGCGCTGGGCCCAGCGCACGCCGGCATCTCAGAGGCACCTGTCTGCCTCCCCGTCCAGCCCAGCCTGAGAGAGGGCCTCGCACCTGCTGACTGACCTCACTGCATCTTCGCCTTCGTCTCAACCTGAGACCAGACCGGCAGCTGCACTGCCCACAGGCAGGGTGCTGCCCACAGGCAGGGTGCTGCCCACAGGCAGGGTGCTGCCCAACATCTGGAAGGAAACAGACCTGTGGTTTCCGTTGCACAGCATCCGGCCTTTGCTGGGCTCGCGCATCTGTTGAGGTTTCCTTCCTTCGGGAGCATGTCAGATGGGCCCCCGCGGGTGTGCAGCAGCCACAGTGCAGTGGCGCCGTCTGTTACAAAGAGAGCTTGCAGGCCAGAGCCGAGCTGCCTGTCCGCGCTCTGCCTGTGGTGGGGAGGGACAGTGCGGGGCCGAGGTCCGCAGACCGGGGAGCCTGGGAACAAGGCACACCGGAGAGAACTGTGTCTCAGAGGGGGTTTGTTTTTCCTTGTTTTTTTTGTGTGTGTGTGTGTCTTCACGATGTCATCATAGTTCCAGGATTGTCATAACAATTTTTTTTACTACATTTTTTATTGATTTCAGAGAGAAAGGGAGAGAAACATCAATGATGAGAGGATCATTGATCAGCTGCCTCTGCACGCCCCCTACTGGGGATCGAGCCCCCCACCTGGGCCTGTGCCCTGACCGGGAATCAACCAGCGACCTCTTGGTTCACGGATGGAGCTCCACCACTGAGGTCGCCGGCCGGGCTAGAGTGTGTTTTTAAAGGGACCGAGCTGATTGTCTCTTGTGTGTTGTTTTGAATGTCCCTGGACTTGTGCTTTGCTCCTAATTCTCCACGTAAACACCCAGGCCACAGCCACCGCCGTTCCCAGGTGCTGGGTCTTCTGGGAGCCGGGCACCGAGCTCTGTGTGTGTGTGTGTGTGTCTGTGTGTGTCCGTGTGTCCGTGTATGTGAGGAGCAGGAGGGAAGGTCGCAGTTCTGTTTCTTCCGTTCGGGGTCGGAGTTTTACTCGTTCCTGGAATTTTGGGAACTCTGCCGCCTGAGTGAGGGGAGGGGAAGGGGAAGGGAGGGCTAATGGTGCCCGAGGAACGATGCTCAGGTCCACTCAGTCCCACCATATGCGGACGGGGTTGCTTAGTCAGAGGCAAGGCTGGTGGGAGTCCCGGCAGGCGCCCCAGAGCTCACGGGTTTCACCAGGTGCCGGGGGAGGGCCGGCCGCCCTGTCCCTCAGCCCGCCCCTCTGTCACAGATCATGGGAAACGCGTCCGAGTTCCAGAAGGCGGTCAAGCTGGTGATCAACACCGTGTCGTTTGACAAAGACTCCACCGTGCAGGTCTTCGAGGCCACGATCAGGTGAGCGGCACGGGAAGTGCCGGCGCGGCCTCCGTGCGGGAGACACCCCGGAGGGCCTCCGGCCACGATCGAAGCAGAGGCCACGGAGGCCGCGTGGCACCGGCCACATTACCCTCACTCGGCGGTTCAGAGACCTTGCACTTTGGACTGGCCGGAAAGACACGCTTTGACGGGTCTGGGCTCGTGTCCTTCCTTCGCGGTGTCCTGGGAAACACCGGGAATTTCTGAAGGAAATGAGCGCCCATCTCCGCTGCCGCCACGGAGGGAGGACCATGCTCCCCGCCTGGCTGTGCTTCCTCCTGGCGTGTGTGCCACTGACATTGGGGCACACGTTCCATGCCCAGCTGTATCTTACCTGTTGAGCTCGATGTATCATGACTATTTTTCTGTCATTTAAACTTTAAAAAATATATATTTTATTGATTTTTACAGAGAGGAAGGGAGAGGGATAGAGAGTTAGAAACATCGATGTGAGAGGAACTTTGATCAGCTGCCTCTTGCACACTCCCTATTGGGTATGTGCCTGCAATCAAGTTACATGCCCTTGACTGGAATTGAACCCGAGACCCTTCAGTCCACAGGCCAATGCTCTATCTATTGAGCCAAACCGGTTAGGGCTCATTTAAACTTTTTAAAAATATATTTTTATTGATTTCAGAGAGAAAGGGAGAGAGAGATAGAGACATCAATAATGAGAGAGAATCATGGATCAGCTGCCTCCTGCACGCCCCCCACTGGGGATGGAGCCCACAACCCGGGCATGTACCCTGACCAGAAACCGAACTGTAACCTCCTGTTCATAGGTCCGTGCTCACTGAGCCACACCAGCCAGGCTCACTTAAACTTTTTGAAATTTGGTTACTGCGTAGTATTCCAGAGGTCACGTTGAAGTTAGGAAAGCATTCATTCTGGAAAGAGTCACACTCTGCTCAGATCACTGAGGGACACGGCCCTCGGCTGGGCTCCCTGTGAGTAGGTCTCCTCCCTTGCCTCCGTGGAGAGGCTGGAGAATGGCTCCTCCGTTGCTCTGCGCCAGAGTGAGAGATTTCATCTGTGCTGTGTTGTCGGTTCTGTTTCTTAGAAGCCACGCTTCCCCCACGTGAGGGAAGCAGCGCCATGTCTCAGCATAAAGGTCGTGTTCACCTGAGAGCGATTCAAGCTCCCTCCCCCCCTCATGGCCACCCCTCCCCTGCCGCCCCGCTGAGGTGACAGACCTCGCTGTTACCTCCCGTGGCCTCACCCCCGGCACCCCCAGATGAGTGCCCCGTCACTTCCTGTCAGCAAAGTGGTGACTAAGAGCAGGCGGTTCTTTCCGGGCTGGGGAGCCCCCGGGAGCCCCCTGGCCCGTCCCCTAAGCACAGGCAGAGTCGGGGTGGCTTTGTCTCTCGAACAGGATCGTGTGCCTTCACGGCGAATGCGATCCGGCCATTTCTGTGTCCCTCCTGCCACAGGGTCCTGGGCAGCCTCCTGTCCGCCCACAGGATCATCACGGACACCAAGCAGCCCTTTGGCGACATGACCATCAAGGACTACGACAACGAGCTGCTGCACATGGCCCACGACCTGGCCGTGCGGCTGCTGCCGGCCTTCCAGAACACCAAGACCGGGATCCCCTACCCCCGGGTAGGCAGCCGCTCGGCCGGCCCCGATGGAGACCTCTGCAGGGAGAGGGCTGGGACCCAGGGGACGGCTGCGTCTGAGAGAGAACCTGGCCCTGCATACGATGCAGATGTTTCTCCGTTCTTCGGCATTTGCTGAGCACCTACTGTGTGTGGGCGCACAGTGTGTCTGCCTGGTCTCCTCCTCAGGACAGAGCTATGTTCCGGCTCAGCACCGCCCTCCACGGCGGGGTCATCCCCGCTGCGAGCGGCGTGGGGTGTCTTCGCCCCCCCGGGGCACCTCTCCCAGACCCTCCAGGGCTGTCCTATGCCTGCCCCACGGACAGCACAGACAGCACGTTTCCTGCTGGCTAAATGCCAGCCCTGGAGGGAGAGCCCGTCCCTGCGGTCTGATTGGCCGAGCCCAGGACTCCTGGGATGTGCGTCAGCCGTGGGCCGGCAGAGAGTGGCCCGGCCGGCGCCACGGTGATGGTGACGGTAACGGAGCGGCCTGTCCCGCCTCCCTTGGCCTTTCTCTCCCAGGCTGAGAGGAGGGAGCATGGGAGCGCCCACAAACACGTGACCACACGGCCCCGCTTCCTAGGCAGGCCTCCCCTTTGTGTGGCCAGGCGGGAGGCGGGGAGCTGACCCCCACAACTCAGTCTAGGGGCGGGGCCTTGCCTGCCGGCCCTGCAGGTTCCTTTTTTTTTTTTTTTTAAGTATCAATAATTTTTATATATATATATATATATTTTATTGATTTTTTACAGAGAGGAAGGGAGATAGAGAGCTAGAAACGTCCATGATGAGAGAGAAACATCGACCAGCTGCCTCTTGCACACCTCCTACTGGGGATGTGCCCGCAACCCAGGTACATGCCCCTGACCGGAATCGAACCTGGGTCCCTTCAGTCTGCAGGCCGACGCTCTATCCACTGAGCCACACCGGTTTCGGCCCTGCAGGTTCCTTGAGTTTTGCCACAACTCCCTGCTCCCCCTTTTACTTTAAGACTTTCATTGATTTCAGAGGGAGAGAGAGAGAAACATCAATGATGAGAGAGAATCATTGGCCGGCCGGCCTCTGCACTCCCCACACCAGGCACTGAGCCCACAACCCGGGCCTGTGCCCTGACCGGGATCGAACTGTGACCTCTCGGGTCATAGGCCGATGCCCATCCACTGAGCCACGCCGCCCGGGCACCACGAACCTGTCTCTCCGTCCCCAGGTGAACCTGAAGACAGGCGTGCCCCCCGACAGCAACAACGAGACGTGCACGGCCGGCGCCGGCTCCCTGCTGGTGGAGTTCGGGATGCTGAGCCGGCTGCTGGGCGACTCCACCTTCGAGTGGGTGGCCCGCCGCGCGGTGAAGGCCCTGTGGAGCCTCCGGAGCAGCGGCACCGGGCTGCTAGGTGCGCGCTGCCCGCCCGGGACTGCCGCCTGGGCCATCCCTTCCCTCCTCCTCCTCCTCCTCCTCCTCCTCCTCCAGCCACGAGACTGCCCACCTGGGCCCCATCCCTTCCCCTCCTTGGGGCGCTCCCCCCTCCCCTCCCTGAACCATTGAATCTGAAAAGTGACCCCTCGGCGCTGGCCCCTCGGTGTCTGCCTGCCCAGTGTCCTCCAGGGACTTGGCTCAGAGGACACCGTCCCTTTGGCATTCGGTGTTTCCCATGTTGGCGTCAGGCTCAGGCTGCTGCCGCCGAACTGCTTGGGACGAGGACAGTTTGAGGGCCCAGCTCCCATCCTTGTGCTGGGGTGCTCGGGGCAGGGGCCCGGGAAGGGGCTGCCCCACTCCCTGCCCCAACAGCGGGAGCCTGACCACTCATCCGTGTCCACAGGCAACGTCGTCAACATCCAGACGGGCCACTGGGTGGGGAAGCAGAGCGGCCTGGGCGCCGGGCTGGACTCGTTCTACGAGTACCTCCTCAAGTCCTACATCCTCTTCGGCGAGAAGGAGGACCTGGACATGTTCAACGCCGCCTACCACAGCATCCAGAGCTACCTGCGCCGCGGGTACAGCCGCCGGACAGCCCCTTCCGGTGCCCGCGGCGGCCAGACCGCCGGCTGGCGCGGGGGGTCTCGGCAACTCGGGCCTCTTGTAGGCGGCTTCCCTCGGGGAGCGAGACCGTGTGCTTTCGCGACCTGTTCTCGGTGGCGGGCCGGCACAGCGCCTGCGGGCGGTCACTGAGTCGCTGTGGACCTTTACTGTGGCCTGTCCCCTCCGAGAGCCAGGCTGGCCCGCCTCCCTCTGCTCAGCGGTGCACCGGCGGCGGCGGCCTGGCGTCTCCCCTGGCCTCACTGAGGTCTCTCTCGGGGCTCCACCTGGACCCGGCCCACAGGGGCTGCCGTGGGAGCCCCCGGAGTGCCGTCCCGCTGACGGCTGTTCGGCCAGAGCTCGGCCACTCATGCTGTGTGAGCGGACAGCTTGTCCTGGCTTTGAGAGGGAGGGAGGAGACATCGGTGAGAGAGACACCCACCAGTGCTTCTTGCATGTGTCCCAACTGGGAATCGAACCCGAAGCCTCCCGGTACACGGGACGGTGCTCTGACCCACTGAGCTCTCCGCCGGGCCCCACTTTACCTTTTAAAGCCCCAGCTGGACTGAGGAGCCGGCCCTCAGGCAACTGCTGGGAGGGTGCCTGCAGCACGGCATGGGGCCTGATTGGGAGAGACGCCGCTTTTATGCAGAAGCAGCCAGGCCTCCCACGCAGGTCACACCCCACGCAGGCCTGCCGTGTGCCCCATGCCCTGGTGGCCCGTCCTCACGCTGAGCGTCCAGTGCTCCTGAGAGATTGAGCCAGGGCTGAGTTCCCACGTGCTGCCCAATCACGTGCTGCCTGTGCAGGCGCTGGTATCACGGGAGAGGGTCTGTCTGCAGAGCCTTAAAGAAGGGGTAGGCCCTGGCTGGTGTGGCTCAGTGGATAGAGCGTCGGCCTGCAGACTGAAGGGTCCCGGGTTCGATTACAGTCAGGGGCATGTACCCTGGTTGCGGGCACATCCCCAGAAGGGAGTGTGCGGGAGGCCTCTGATCGGGGGAGGTAGGAGGAAGGTTCATGCTGATGCCAAGGAGGCAGAGCTCGGGGCCTTGGGGTGAGCCTGGCCTGTCCCATCCGCTCACCCCGCGCTCTCCCCGCAGCCGGGAGGCCTGCAACGAGGGCGAGGGGGACCCCCCGCTGTACGTCAACGTGGACATGTTCAGCGGGCGGCTGATGAACACGTGGATGGACTCGCTGCAGGCCTTCTTCCCGGGGCTGCAGGTACGCTCCGCCCCCGCCCGCCGGCCCCCCTCCCGCGGCCGCGTGCTCCGGCGCCTTCGGATGGGGGGGCAGTGGCAGGGCTGTCTCCGTGGTCCTGTGGTGGGGTGAGGTCCAGAATGTTGGACGGGGCCACGGATGAGGGGAAGCCGTGCCCGAAAAGTGGCCCGGTCGTGTTGGGTGCCCCCTCGCTGTCCGTCTGTGATCACAGCGACGCCCTGGCAGTGCCGTGCCCGTCCTCCTGGCACTGGTGCCCCGGGGAGGCCTCTCCTGCTCTGGTGCTGCTCTGGGTTGTCTCCAGCCCGGGTCGGTGTGGGTGTGGGGAGGGGAAGCCAGAGCGTTCTCTCCAGCCGAGGGTGGGGATGGGGGAGGGGAGCCCAAGCCGAGGGCCAGAGTGCTGACCGGCGGCCGTGCCTCCGCAGGTGCTGATCGGAGGGTGGGGATGGGTGGGGGGAGGGGAGCCGAGGGCCAGGGTGCTGACCGGCGGCCGTGCCTCCGCAGGTGCTGATCGGAGACGTGGAGGATGCCATCTGCCTGCACGCCTTCTACTACGCCATCTGGAAGCGCTACGGGGCACTCCCCGAGCGCTACAACTGGCAGCTGCAGGCCCCCGATGTCTTCTTTTACCCGCTGCGGCCCGAGCTGGTGGAGTCCACCTACCTCCTCTACCAGGTGCGGCCGGCCCTCGGCGCCGGGTTCTCGGGGAGCCCCTGCTGGTCGGTGTGGGCTCTCGTTCTGGTCGTCCTGACAGTGACCTGTCCAGGCGTCTGCTGTCAGCGTCACGCGTGGGGATGGCTTACAGGCTCAGTCCCGGCAGGGAGACAACCAGTCCAGGTGTCCCTTTCCGTGCTTTCTCTCTCTCTCTCTCTCTCTCTCTCTTTCTCTCTCCCCTCCTCCCTTTACTCTAAAAATCAAAAGAAAACTCTTCTCAGGTGAGGATAAAAAAGATGACCCTCACCGGTGACTGTTGGAGGAAGCCTCACCTTCCCAGCAAACCCTTTCCTAAGGAGCCTTCCTGGCCCGGGCTGAGCTGGGCGACCGGAGGGCCGAGAGCAGCCGCCGTGGGGCCTCAGGAGGCTGCGTGGGGCCGGGGCCGCTCTGCTCCCTGTGCCCGAGGCACAGGCTGCGGGGAGTTCTGAGGCAGGGCGGGCATGGCGTGCTCAGATGGCACTGGGAGCGGGGCCTGGCTGGTGGCTCAGGAAGGCGGGCAGGTGTGCCTGGCCACGGGAGCCGGCGTGAGCTGACACTCAGCCCTGGACGCTGTGACCCTCAGGGGCCGGGCCCTGCGCCCTCCTGTGGCCGTGACTCCACCCAGACACCGGCAGCCCGAGACGCTCGCTGTGGGCGGTGATGCGGGTTGTGGCACGTCCTGGCCCCGCCCCGCTGGCTCATGCTCTCTCCCTCTCCAGGCGACCAAGAACCCCTTCTACCTCCACGTGGGCATGGACATCCTGCAGAGTCTGGAGAAGTACACGAAAGTCAAGTGAGTTCTCCCAGTTCCTCCTCCTGCTGGTGGGATCGGGTTCACGGGGAGCTGGGGGGTGGGGTGGGGGGGTGGAGAATGGGATTCTCACTTGGTCACGTGGCGGGCGGGGCCCTCATCTTGATTTGCAGGGAAGTTGCCTTTTTCTGTGTCAGCGCTGGTGCCTGGGGGGTGTGGGGGGTGCTGGCAGACTGCAGGACTGAATTCTTCCCAAGTAACTTCCCCGTTTCTCACCTAAAACACACTGTCCTGGGCTCCATGTGCAGAGAGGAGCACAGAGTTTATGTGTGTGCTCATGGTTTGTATATATCGTATGTAACGTATGCATGCATGTATTGTATAAAAAAAGATGTTTCTGTTTTGTAACCTGCATGTTTACTGAGCAGCAGGTCCTGAGTATTTTTTATAACTACTGTCTTAGACTTTCCAAATAATACGTCAGGTTTATAAATATTAGGATGGAAAACGTTAATCAGTCCTGAATTCATCCCAGTTGTTTCTCGATGTCATGTATGCTCTCAGCAAACCTGCCAGCCCCCGCCCCTGATGCCCCGCCCCTCCCCCCCCCAACCTGGCAATTTGGCCGCCAAATTTGTTGTGTGTTTTTTTAATACATTTTATTGATTTTTTACGGAGAGGAAGGAAGAGGGTTAGAGAGTTAGAAACATCAATGAGAGAAACATCGATCAGCTGCCTCCTGCACACCCCCTACTGGTTAGGTGGTTATGTGCCTGCAACCGAGGCATGTGCCCTTGACCGGAATCGAACCTGGGACCCTTGAGTCCGCAGGCCGAGGCTCCATCCACTGAGCCACACTGGTGAGGGCCGCCAAATCCGTTTTTAAACGAATGTGCAGACAGGCCCGGCTAAGGCGGACAGCGCTGAAACCGGGCGTAGCCTGCTTGCCGCGGCGTTCGCCGGTGGGGCTGGTATTCCGGGATGGACTCTGCTCCGCGCGCGGTGAGCGCCCTCGAGGGAGCGGCAGGGCTGACGCTGCTTTGCAGGTGCGGATATGCCACACTGCACCACGTCATCGACAAGTCCAAGGAGGACCGCATGGAGAGCTTCTTCCTCAGCGAGACCTGCAAGTACCTGTACCTGGTACGTGCGGCCCCGGGTAGCGGGGAGCCAGGCAGGCCACACGGTGCCGCCCGTGCCCACGGGCCTCTCCGTGCAGGACAGTGCGCTGGCCCAGGACACAGGCACAGCGGGCAGACGGGCACAGCGGGCAGACACGGGCACAGCGGGCAGACACGGGCACAGCGGGTAGACGGGCACAGCGGGCAGACACGGGCACAGCGGGCAGACACGGGCACAGCGGGCACACACGGGCACAGCGGGCACACACGGGCACAGCGGGCACAGACGGGCACAGCGGGCAGACACGGGCAGCAGTCCCCCAGCTCCTCACCGTGCATGGAGGGGCACATTCAGCAGACAGAGCTGTGAAATGGCAGGGTGTGCGAAGGGTGGTGACGGTGTGGGCTTAGTCTGGGCCTTGGGCCCTGGCCGGGGTCGGGACATCTGAGGTGAAGCAGCCACTGGGACCGCCTGCGCCTCCCGTGCTGGCCCTGAAAGCGAGGCGGCAGCTCCCGGGCAGCGCTGAGGTCGTCCCGCAGCTTCCGACCGCTCTCCTCCGCCAGCTGTTCGACGAGGAGAACCCGGTGCACAAGGCCGGCACCCGGTACATGTTCACCACCGAGGGCCACGTGGTGTCGGTGGACCGGCACCTGCGGGAGGCGCCCTGGAAGGAGTTCTTCCCCGAGGAGCCCGGGCGCGCGGCCGGGTCCCTGCACAGGCCGGCGGCCCCCGGCCTGAGAGCCCTCAACTCCAGCTCCAACGTGAGTTGCTTTTCGGGGTCACTGTGCGTGTGGACGGGGAGAAGACGCCCTAACTATCAGGCGGTCACAGGCGCCATCGGGGCGAGGGAGCCGCGGAGCAGCGGCCGGTCACCCCGGCCGAGGGGTCGCTGGCAGACACTCATGTAACGCCTCATTCTGGGGTCAGCGGCGGGACGGAGCCGATCCAGGGGCCCCGTTCTGATAGGTCCTGGCTGCTGGGAGACCAGCTCCTCCCCAGGAGCTTGAGGGGGGGACAGCCACAGAGCTGTCAACACAGGGCGGGGAGCCACCTGCCGGGGAAAGCCTGGAGGGCTTCCCGGAGGAGCTGGCTTTTCAGTGGGTCCTGGAGCGGAGGAGGCCCGCAGGGAGGAGGTTCAGGGAGCGGAAGCGCGGGGGATGGAGGGTGGGAGGATGCGGGTTCCAGCTGAGGGCCTTGTTAGGACTCTTCGAGGATGAGGAGCAGCGAGGTGCATCCCAGTGGGACGTGTTCCTTGGGGCGGAACCTGAACTCGCTCTCCTCCGAGGGGGACGAGGCCTCCAGTCACCCCCGAGACGCACGCGAGTGCGTTGGGGTCTGGCTGCGGCCGAGAGGGGCCGCAGGTTCCCAGAGAGCGAGTTTCCTGCAGACCCAGTGCCGCTCAGAGGCGGGCCACTGCGCACGTGGTGGGCGTCGGCCTCCCGGGTCCGCCTGTGCCCTGGGAGGCGAGGGCGCCCCCCGCCCCAGTGCCCCAGCGGGTGCCGCTCCTTCAGGGAGCGCCCCGGTTGTCACCTCTGGGGGTGGGGCCGGGTCACCTCATGGCAGAGGCCAGGGGTGCTGCCAGCACCTGCCTCACCCGGGACACGCGACCCGGCTGCAGTGCCTGGCCGAGAGGCTCAGCACGTGGAGGGTTTTTATACTTTTTTATTGGCTTCAGAAGGGAAGGGAGAGGGAGGGAGAGACAGAAACATCAGTGATGATGAGAGAATCATTGATCGCCTGCCTCCTGCACCCCCTGTACTGGAGATCAATCCCCTAACCCGGGCGTGTGTCCTGACCTGGAATTGAACTGTGACCTCCTGGCTCAGAGGTCGATGCTCAACCACTGAGCCGCACTGGCCGGGTCAGCACATGGATCTTTAACTGGAAACTCTCACGGTCCCATTTCTGTCTAGTGCAACCGCGTCCCCGACGAGAGGAGGTACTCGCTGCCCCTGAAGAGCGTCTACATGCGCCAGATCGACCAGATGGTCGGCCTGATCTGACCGCTGGCTGCTCTGTGGGCCCTGCCGCCCGTACCAAAGGCTGCATCCGCCACGCCGGCCACGCGTGAGGTGGAGGCCGGAGCCTGGCCGACCGGGCGCCGCCGGGATCCTGTCAGCTCCTCGCCCGCGTCCAGCAGCGTCCTGCTTCCCTAGTGTTTCTCTCTGTTCAATAAAAAGCCGTTTCCTTACGGGTGTGATGTGAGGTGAGAAGGACCTGCTGACGCCGTCGGCACCGTGGATGGATCTCCGTGCCCGGACGGCGGGACCAGCGTCTCCTCCCGCCGGACGCCGTGTGGCCGCCCCCGTCAGCGCCCGTGGATGGAGCCGTGCGGAGGCCTGCGTCCCGGCCTCCCGCCTGCTGCCTTTGTCGTCCTCTCCGTCGGATCACTGGCTCCCGGTGTCAGTGTCGCCGTGACTGTGGGCCGTGGGGAGAAGAAGCCATCGGGGGCCTGTTTGCCCGGAGCCCTCGCCGTGTTGCCGGTTCTGCGCTGGCGAGTAGCCGTCCGTGGCGGCGGCACACCGAGAGCTTCGTGGGGGACCCCGGACGTGTCTTACCGTCGCTGGGACTGCCTGGGGGCTGCGCAGCCCAGAACCAGGTGCCTCTGCTGCGCCCGCCGCGTGGTCACGGACCAGGATGCTCAGCTCCGACCGTGTCTGTTTCCATGTCTCATGCCAAGTACCTGAGTCAGGGAGCCGGTGCCCGCGGCCAGTGCCTTAGGTGGTCACAGCTGCCGCCGTGGCTCCAACAGGCGTGTTCTGTGTAGCCACATGGCGGGATGGGGAACAGTGGGCGGGCAGGCGTGTTAGGAAGAGTCTGCAGCTTCCTGGCCAGTCCCGGCCTTTCCACCTGCTGGTCTGGCTCCGAGGAGGAGCCTGTGCTGAAATGCTGTCTCCCTTCTTCCTGTCTCCTCATTCCCGGCCAAAACGAGAGCCCCTCGCCGAGCCAGGGGTGCGAACCTCACCTGCTTCCGTGGCCTCAGGGGGACCTGAGCCCAGAGGAAGGGGGAGTCTGTCACCCCCATCCCGGGGTCCACCTGCACTGCGTGCACTTCAATTCCTTCCTCCGTCTTAAAACGGGGAGCCGCACCGCGCAGGCCACGGCTCCTCCCCCAGGGGGCGCTCCTCCGCCCGTGCTGTCCGGTGGCCACAGGCGGGGCTCCGCTCTGAGTTTTAAAGGGTTTTCAGTAACATGTGTCACCTCCATCTTCCAGCGTTCACTATGCAAATTGTTTAAAGTAGAACCAAATGCTTCTGTCCTGCCCTCCCTCTTCCTGTCAGGCGTTCTGTGCCGGTCTTGTCTCCGCTGCTGAATAGAGAGTTGTTTTAAAGGGTCGTACAGATTTTAAATGTTCTCACGGGCTCGGAGAACCCCAGTGTCCCGGGTTAGATGCACACGCAGGCCGAGCGGGTCCTCCCCCTGCGCTCCCGCCCCCAGGCCTCCCCGCTACGCCTCCCCCTGCACCTTCTCCCGGGATACGGCGAGCTGACCCCTCAGCACCCATTTGGACGATGGGTCACATTAGGCAGGAAAGCAGGGCCCGAGCGTCCGTGTGTTCTCTCTCAGTCGTTGCTGCCCTGGCTTCCTCCCGGCTTGGGGATAGCCCCGTGCTGGGCCTGCCTTCCTCCTCCCCCAGGGAGGGCCCTGCCCCAGTGCCACAGAGGCCCGGGCCTCCAGGGACCCAGGCGTGTCCTGTATTGTGCCTCACACCCTCTGGTCCCGGCCCCCGGGCTCCTCCTAGGTGGGTGGCTACGGCACAGCGACCCCACAGCGGAGTGGTGAGGGGCTGTGGGATGTGGGCCGGGTGCCTGGCAGCCAGGGCACACCTGTGGGTCCGTGGCTGTTCTGAGGGCGGTGCGGGCAGGAGGCTCGCTGGCTTTGCTCCAACGCCCTGGCTCGCCCGCACCCCCGGGGTCAGCCGTGCCCCTGCCACGCTCGGTCCACGTGATGCCGTGTCGGTCTGCTTTGGTGGCTGAGCAGCAGGGTTTGGGAAGGCTGCTTCCGGTTCCGCCTGGCTTGGGGCGGCCCCGCCGCGATCGAGGATGTGACGGGAACCCCACTTCCTGCAATGAGGTGACAGGAAGTGCTGCCAGCCCAGCATGGCGCCGCCTCTGAGAGGCCGGCTTGTCCCCTCGGCCTGCAGGCCGCCTGGTCCGCGGTGGGCGAGCTCCCGCGCTTCTGTGTGCGCCCAGCTGGGCCTGCAGGGGGCCAGGCCCGGGCCGTTGGGGGGCCGGAGCCTGATGCCCCCCCTGCCTCGAGCACTTTTCTCCGCTCAGTTCCTTCCCCGCGCTCCGGCACTTTCTCTCTGACGCGGCTCTGACAGGTGCGGGCCCTGAGTGGCGATGGCGCCTGTCGGAAACCTCCGTCTTCCTCTCCGTCCCGCACCGGCCGGCGGCCCTCCCCGCAGGCAGGCGTCTGTGAAGGGGCAGCGGGCGGTGCGGGCTGGCGGGGCTCAGGGCTACCCTCCCCTGGACGGCTGCGAGGCTGGTTCAGTTCCTGTGGACCCTCCCCCCGCCCCTTCTCAGGCAGAGAAATAAATGGTCTTAAAGGTATTTGTTTTAAGTAGCGAACCCCACGCTGCATTCTTATTTATTGCCGAGAAGCGTGAATCTGGTTTGAGAAGAAACCCAGAGGGAGCTGGGAGCCTCTGTGCAATAGGCCTGCGCTGCCGCGGTTCCTGTCGGGCTGTAGAGAGATGTGTGTGCGCGAAACGAGCCTTTTGTAAAGGACCAAACGCTCTTTTATAAATGTATGAGACATATCTTGCTCTTTGAGATTTACTAGGATTTTTATGAGCCGTTTTTATTAAAAGGTTCGCTTTTTTGGCGTTGTTTCATGTCTCCTTTCCACGCGCACGGACACGCTGCCCGCGGAGCAGACGGGGGGGGGGGGGGGGGGTCTTCAAGGGAAAGGAAAAGTTAGGTGCCAAAGCTTTCACAGCTAAGCTCGCCTGCCCCGCTCTGCCGTCCACACGGCCTGCCCCGCACCTCCCCCGGGGAGGCCCTCTTAGACGGGAGAGGGGGTGGCCCGTGCCCTCGATGTGGGGGCTCTGCCCAGGGAAGCAGGCCAGGGCGTCGCGGGGACAGATGGGGCCTCGAAGGTTGCTGATTCTGCCCCTGTGGGGTCGTGGGGGCCCAGCTCTGTGCACAGGTGATTCTGAGGAGCCTTTTAAAACCAGAATATGCTGGGACCGGTTTGGCTCAATGGATAGAGCGTCGGCTTGGGGACTGAAGGGTCCCGGGTTCGATTCCGGTCAAGGGCATGTACCTTGGTTGCGGGCACATCCCCAGTAGGGGGTGTGCAAGAGGCAGCTGATTGATGACTCTCTCTCATCGATGTTTCTAACTATCTCTCTCCCTTCCTCTCTGTAAAAAAAAATCAATAAAATATATTTTTTAAAAAATAAATAAATAAATAAAATAAAACCAGAATATTCCACGGGGCGGAGGAGAGAGTCCTGAGGCTGGCGAGACACAGCTGATACCACAGCACAGTCGTGGGGCCGGCGGCCTGGCTGCCGGTCCCGTGGCTCGTGGCCTCTTTGTTGTTAATCCTCACCTGAGGGTTGAGTTTTAGAGAGAGTGGAAGGGAAGGGGAGCGACAGAGGGAGAAACATTGATGTGAGCGAGATGCATCGATTGGCTGCCTCCTGCCTGGACCCCAGCCAGGCTGGGAATCAAGCCTGCCACCGAGGACCTGCTCGTGACCGGGATGGAACCCTGGACCCTTCAGCCCTCCGGCTCTACCCACGGAGCCAGTAACCTCATGAGGCTGAGCAGGCCCAGCACGCTGAAGACTGCAGCCTGCCTGCCTCCCTCCCAGTGAGTGGCCTGTGCAGACCCCCGGGGAGCACTGGGGCTCAGCGGAGGGACCCCCTGCAGCCCAGCGTCCCTCCAGCAGCTTTGTGTGGTGGGAGGGACAGCAGAGGCCCTGCTGAGTCTCCATGGGCCCCCTCCCTGCGGCTGGGGCTTTGCTCCCAGCTTGTCCGTGGAGGTTTCACATCCATCCTGGGGCCCGGAGGGGTCCGGTTAGCAGTTCTGGGTTTGTGAGAGGCCTGCCCTCTGATAAGGGGCCGGGGGTGCGGGTGGAGCTGGCAGGTCACAGTCGGGGCATTTTAGGTGAGAGAACACTTTCCCCTTGCTCCTCTGTGCCCCTGAGGCCCTGCCAGCAGGTTCCGCAGTGGCTGTAACTCTGCTCACGTCCACCAGAGGCCACTGTCGCTTCACTTTCTCTAACGGGGCCTTTTAAAAAAAGACAAATTCTAACAACCGAGGTCCAGGAAGAGCAGCGTCTGACGTTTCCACACGCGTGCAGATTGACGGCGTGGCCCTGGGTCCCGTGCTGCGCCCTCGCATGTGCCAGCAGAGACAATGACGATGACACTGGGTGTCTGTCGGGTCTTCCCTGCACCATCAAGCTCTTTAATATGTTTAAATCTTTTTCAAAATACATTTTTATTGATTTCAGAGAGGAAGGGAGTGTTGGGGGGGGAGAGAGAGATATCAGTAATGAGAGAGAATCACTGAGCAGCTGCCTCCTGCACGCCCCCTACTGGGGATCAAGCCCGGAACCCAGCCATGGGCCCTTGACCGGGAATCGAACTCTGACCTCCTGATTCATAGGTCGCTCAGCCACATGGGGCCGGGCGAGCTCTGTCATGTTTACCTCTCAGTTAGGATCACGATACCTGCCTTGGGGTTCTCGTTTTCCTGAGTGTGAGTCTAGGGCCATGGTCGGCAAACGGTGGCTCGCAAGCCACCCTTGAGTGTGGCTCTTTCACAAAATACCATGGTCTGAGCAAGTCTGTGTTGAAGAAGTGGCGTTAGAAGAAGTTTAAGTTTAAAAAACGTGGCTCTCAGCCAAAACCGGTTTGGCTCAGTGGATAGAGCGTCGGCCTCCGGACTGAGAGATCCAGGATTCGATTCCGGTCAAGGGCATGTACCTTGGTTGCGCATCCCCAGTGGGGTGTGTGCAAGACGCAGCTGATCAATGATTCTCAAAGATGTTTCTAACTCTCTATCCCTCTCTCTTCCTCTCTGTAAAAAATCAATAAAATATATATTTTTAAAAAACGTGGCTCTCAAAAGAAATTTCAATCGTTGTCCTGTTGATAGTTGGCTCTGTGGACTAATGAGTTTGCAGACCGCTGGCCTAGGGCCTTGGGCAGTGTTCACGTGGGTCAAGCATGTCAAACTCACGCCGGCGGCCATGGGTTTGACATGCTGGACATGGGCGGTTGAACTTCCCCTCGGGCTCTCTGTCCGCCTGCAGGCTGGGCGATGGTGTGTTGTGGGTAAAGCCTGGCGGTGTCTCTGGGCGCCAAGGGCTCCACTCAGCTTTGGCTCTCCTTCCTCCAGCCCCTGGCACCAGCTTCGGCTCTGGGGGTCAGGAGCCCTGGTCCCCAGGAGCCTCACCCCTGCCTGTAGTGCCTGTGGCCCGAGCTGGCGGCAGGCGGGCAGCGGTACTTGGCGTCCACGCTGTGGCCTGGCTCTGGACGCTGCTCCTCTGAGCTGGGCGTTAGTGAACCTCTGTGCCTCAGCTGCCTCACCTGTTAGGAGGGGCGAATTATATCTCCTCATCGGGTACCCGGGACGGGAGCAAGGCTGGTGTGCAGGGGTGTGTCTCTCGGCAACCCGCCTCCCCGCCCGCCCTCCTTCCCCTCAGATCAGCTGCTCTGTGGTGGAGGCCGGTTCCGAGAGAGCTCACAACACGTGGTCCCGACTCATTGCCTGGGGTATGACCTGTGGTCTTTGGACCAATAGTTCTCAAAATTGCGTCAGAATCTCCTGTCCTGCCCGCTGGCCTGGCTCAGGGGTTGAGCATCAACCTATGAACCTGGACGTCATGGGTTCAATTCCTGCTCAGGGCACATGCCTGGGTTACTATCCAATCCCCAGTAGGGGGCCTGCAGGAGGGAGTCGATCGATGATTCTCTCTCATCATTGATGTTTCTCTCTCTCCCTCTCCCTTCCTCTCTGAAATCAATAGAAAGCTTTTTTTTTTTTTTCTTTCCAAAAACAAATCTGTCCCATCAGAGATGCTGGCTCCCCCTCAGGAAAGCTTAACTGGCCTGAGTCAACAAGACGCCCTCACCTTGCAGGCTGCACCATCGCTGAGGGCCCGGGTGGGACAGATCTGCTGGAAGGGGACTCCCGCCTCCTCCTGCCCCAGGTCTCCGTTCTCAGCCTCCGGCTTGGACTGGAACTCCCCCAGCACTCCCCTGAGCCTCCTGCCAGCGCAGCTTGCTGGTAGTGGTGTTACCGGAAAGCGGACTGGCCCGTGGCGGGTCTGCCTCGGGCCAGCCGCAGCCGGTGGGTTCCTGGCTTCCTGCAGGACAGATTTCACAACACGCGCCCAGGGGACTCCGAGGGAGCGCTCATGGGGGCTGGGGCCGTGAACGAGGAAGGGCCTCGCATAGAGAGGCAGCAGGAGAGCCCAGATGGCCACCCTACTCTCCGCAAAGTCAGCCAAGGGGTCTCGGGACGGGACGGGGGGTTAGCCCGGGACGAGCTGCCGCTGCCTGGCGCTCCCCCGTGGAAGCCTCGGGGTCCTTTAGGGGTTAGGAGATGAGCCTGCGGGAGAGCGAGAGGGGGAAGGGGTGGCCGCCCTGGGCCTTTGTCTGGAGCTCTGTCAGCACAACAGTCCTCCATCCGGCTGTGCCCGCTCAGGGCGAGGCCCTCGCTGAGGGCTCATGCCAGGGCAGGGTCCTCCGTCACCGCGGCTGGTCTCGGCTTCGCCCCCCGGGTGCTGCTGTTTTTCCGGGCCTGGAGGTGCTCACTAGGGAGGCGCCCTCTGCACCTGCTGTGATGCCGGCAGTGGGTCCCGCTGTCCGCCTCAGTTTCCCTCTTCTGCCTGTCCTGGCTCCCTGGCCCGTCTCATTGGGACTTCTCAGCCCCTGTAACCAGGTGAGGCCAGTCTCTTATCACAAACCCCTTTCTGTGTATCTTTTTAAAACCAGCCCCCCGGTGTGTTGCTAACCAGTTCCTGGACGGCCTGAACCCCCTGGACCCCAGTCTCACAGGGGTTGGGAGGTGGTGGCCGGACGCCCCAAGTTTGAGAGCCACGTTCTTGGGAGTTTACTGCATCTTGAGGCTTCCTTCCAAGGGTGCTTTCAGCAAATGTGAACATCGAATGTTAAGCAAAGGCAAAAGCTGGTTCCCCACTGAGCACCTACCATGGACTCTGCCTGGACCCTTGATGGTCCTAGACTCGTCCCAGGGGCTGAGGTCAGGCAAGGCCAGGCTGCTGGTGCTGACCGTTCGCTAGGCGCTGCCCACCAAGCTCCAGCCTCTGGGCCTTGACACCTGCGGGCCCCCCGAGGGGAAATCGCAAAAGTTCGCTTCTTCCCAGCGGGGCCGCCTCGCGGGTGCCCAGTCCCTGCAGGAGGCGCTCAGGCGAGGGCCCCGGGCCGGGGATGCCGCGCAGACACACGCACGCCCGTCCCCGTGCGGACGGACCCTCCCCGGCCACACGTGGGGGGCCTGCGGCTCCCGCCGGCGGGCGAACCCGGCTGCCCCGAGCGGACAGGCTCGCGCACGCGCACACACGCACGGAGCGGACCGTCCCCCGCCGCGCCCCCCTCAGGCTGGCTCGCGCATGCGCGGACACGCCCGCCGGTTCCGCCCCGACGCCCACCCGGAACAAGGAGCGGCCTGTGCGCACGCGCAGCCTAGGCCCCGCCCCTCCCGGCCGCGCCCTGGGGGCGGGGCCAGCCGGGGGCGGGTCCTGCGACACCGCCCGGGAAGCAGCGGAGCTGGGCGGCCCCCGCCACATCCTCCTCCGCCTCCGCCTCCTCCTTCCCGGGTCTGAGCCAGCGGAGCGGAGCCAGGCCGAGCCGAGGGCTCCGAGGGCGCGGGCGGAGCAGGGCACGGAGCCATGGCGCACCAGACGGGCATCCACGGTGAGGGCGGGCGGCGGGCGGGCGGCGGGCGGGCCGGGGGCAGAGGGGCTGCCCCGCCGCTGCGCCCCTCCCGGGCTCCGGCTCCTCCAGCGCCGGCGGGGAAGCTTCCTGTTCTCTTTGCAGCCGCGCGTCGCCGGGGGCGGCACATCTGGGGGGAGGGGGCTCCCCGTGCAGAGGTGGGTGGGTGTGCAGGCAGGTACCCGGCTGCGGCGGAAGTTTCCGTGCTGTGGGTGCCCGTGCGGGTGGAGGCGCCTGTGTGTGCCCATCTATGGTCTGTGTGCCTCTCCCGGGGCGGGGGCGCCCGGATGCGCACCTCTGGGGAGGTGTGCTCGCATGTTCACTCGCCTGGTGTGCACAGCCCTGTGTGTGCCCAGCTGGGTGCACACACACATACACACACCCGGGGCTGGTTGCAGGGACACAGTAACGTGGGATCATCTGTAGACAGTGTTTCGTGACCGTGCACACGGCTGTGGGTGTCTGGGTGCATCTCGGTGTGCGTTTGTTACCATGGATGCATGCACCGTGTGTGTGTGTGTGTGTGTGTGTGTGTGTGGCTGTGTGTGGCTGGTGTGAGTTTGTGTCTTTCTGAGGGGGGGTCCCTGACCTTTGGCTCCTCCCACACTCCTGCACGCCAGGCTGGGGACACCCTGGGCAGGGCCCTCGGAGTGGGATGGGAGCGTGGTGGGTCTGACCTTGACCTCAGTTCCCCTCCATTTTCCACTCTGATCTGAGTCTGCCGGGGCCAGGCTTGGAAGGTTCCAGTTCCAGGTTGGGAACACAGGAGAGGGTCCGAGTATGGGGTTTGGGGGTGAGGGTCGTGGCCCTGGAGACTCCAGGCCAGCGTCACCCCCTTCCCCCCGGGGCTCCCTTTCTTCCTTGGACAGGCTGCCGGAGAGGCCATGGCCGGGAGCCAGGTGTCCTGACGCTCCCGGCCTTAGGGTCCCCGTCCGTGGCCCGAGAGGCTGCCTGGCTGTGCAGAAGGTCCAGACGGTCTGCCCAGCGAGCCTGGTGGTCTGGCCCTCAGCCACGCTTCCCACCACACCAGGATCCCCCCCCCCCCCCCGGGCCACCATCGACCAGCCTGACCGCCTGCCTGGATCTCGGCTTGTGGTTGTGGCCACTTGCTGGCCAGACAGCCCTGAGGGCTTCCCTGGCCCCGTCCAGCAGGTCAGCAGGCCGGGCCTGGGGCAGGGCCAGCCTCCCCCCAGGTGGCCGGCCTCTCCCAGGAGGCGTTGGCCAGCTGCTGTGACTCAGCCCGCAGGAGAGAACAGTGTCCCTTCCTTCCCCTTTGCCTGGTCATCGCTGCTGCCCCAACGGAGCCGGGAGGGGGGCGGGATCGGAAGCGAGGGTTCCTCCTCTGAGCTCCGGCGGACAGTCCAGTGGTCAGGGCCCCGCCTCACTCTCTCATTTCCTCCTGCCTGTGAGCAGCCCACCCCTCATTGCCAGGCCTCCGGGAGGTGGGAGGCCACGGGTGCGAGTCTGCTGACCTCGGGCCAGGCGGGGAGGGGCAGGGAGGGGCCTGTAACCGGAGGCTGCCAGGTGGGGGCGGGCCAGGCAGGGGTGGGGCAGGGGCATGAATCTTTGATGAGAGGCTCAGGTGTCCCAGGCCGGCCTCTGGATTATTGATGGTGGCTGAGGAGGCATGGGGGTTGTCTCTGCCCCTTCTGGGGTGTCACTGCCCCGTAACACGAGAAGGGGCGCAGCCCCTCCCCTGTGCCCTCCCTCGCAGGTCTGAGCAGGTGCGTGTGTTGCAGTGCAAGCCCCTCCCCAGCACTTCCTCTGCTCACTGCCCCGGCTCCCTCTGCCTGTGGAGGGCCAGCCCCGCCTGTGGAAGAGTGTGAGGCTCAGTGAGGTCAGGGGTCACACAGCGATGGGGAAGGGCACCCCAGAGGCCAGGTCTTCCCCAGAGACCTGCTCGGGCTCTGCAGGTGGGCGGCTCTGCCCGGCGTGGGGCTGCCCTGGGACGCGCCCCCCCAGCGGCTGGAGGGTGGTGCGCCCGGGTTTCGGGCTCAGGCGCCCTGCGTGGGGGGCACCTGAGGACGGAGCGGAGTATCTCCCATGGCCCCCGGCCCCCGAGCTGCGGGCCCTATAAATGCCCCCTGACCTCACCTCCGGGGAGCCTCACCCCGAGACCAGGCAGCCCTGCCCACGTGGACCTGGGTTTCTTCCCGAACCACGCAGGTCCATGGCGTCCGGTGGTTCCCCGGCTCCGACCACCATCCTCACCGCTGCACTCGGTCCCTAGCCACTGGCTCTTACCTCCTGGCTCTGTGGTCCAAGGACCAAGACAGAGTCTGTTTGGGGGAGTTCCTGAGAGGCCCTCCTCCTCCAGGAAGCCTTCCGGACTGCCTGTGTGTTTCTGTGTAACCTTTATACATCCTTCGCCAAGCTCTGCGTCTGCCATTCGTGTGTGTGTGTGTGTGTGTGTGTGTGTGTTAGAACCTGGGCACGGTGGCTGCGTGTGTGTGTGTGTGTGTGTGTGTGTTAGAACCTGGGCACGGTGGCTGCGTGCGTGTGTGTGCGTGTGTGTGTGTGTGTGTATGTGTATGTGTGCGTGTGTGTGTGTGCGTGTGTGTGTGTGTGTGTGTGTTAGAACCTGGGCATGGTGACTGCGTGTGTGTGTGTGTGTGTGTGTGTGTTAGAACCTAGGCACGGTGACTGCGTGTGTGTGTGTGTGTGTGTGTGTGTGTGTGTGTTAGAACCTGGGCACGGTGACTGCGTGTGTGTGTGTGTGTGTGTGTGTTAGAACCTGGGCACGGTGACTGCGTGTGTGTGTGTGTGTGTGTGTGTGTGTTAGAACCTGGGCACGGTGACTGCGTGTGTGTGTGTGTGTGTGTGTGTGTGTGTGTGTGTGTGTGTTAGAACCTGGGCATGGTGACTGCGTGCGTGCGTGCGTGCGTGCGTGTGCGTGTGTGTGTATGTGTGCATGTGTGTGTATGTGTGCGTGTGTGTGTCTAAACGCGAGTGTCCCCTGTGTTAGACCAGCAGAGCGTGTGCTCGTGGACGGGGTGTTGGCATTCACACTCCTCTGTCACCTGCAGGTGTTGACGTGTTATGTTCACTCGTGCTGGGCTGAGAATGTACCTGTTTGTTGCCACGTGCAACATGTGTGCGCGTGTGTGCGCGTGTCTGTGCACGTGTGTGTCAGTGGGCATAGTGGTCCCGGGAGCTGTTCGCGCGTGTCTGCCTGTGGCTATGACAGGACTGAGCGGCCCCCTCTCCAGCTCGGCGCTGGCCTCCCCGCCGCCGGCCTGGCCTGCGCAGAGCCGTCCTCCTGGACGGGCTGCCGTCCCCGCCTGTCACCGGAGCCCCCGGCCAGGCGGCCGCTCAGCGCCACCTCTGCCGCTAAATTTGGGAGCTGATGTCCGGGCGTCTCAGGTTCCCGGTCACATGGGGCTGTATTTAACCCGCGCCCCGCCCCGCCCAGCACCGGGCCCGCAGAGCAGAGCAGGCCGGCCGTGTCCCTCCCGTCCCCGCCGCCCACCCGCCCAGCCCTCACCCGCCATGTTTCTTGTGCTCGCAGCCACCGAGCAGCTGCGGGAGTTCTTCGCCGAGGCGCGGGCCGGCTCCGTGCGGCTCATCAAAGTGGTCATCGAGGACGGTGAGTGCCCGGGAGCGGACGGAGGCGGGGCCGAGCTCGCTGCTTTGCTGGGGGGGGGGGCCACGGGCCTCCAGCCCACTGGGCCTCAGTTTCCCCCTGGGAGCGGGACGGGCCTGTAGGAAGCCCTGGAGGTGGCGTGGTCCTCTCCGTTTCCTGTGAAACAGCAGGAAACTGAAGCTGAGGGGTAGCAGGTGGCCCAGGCCTGGCCCTGGGGTCCTGTCCGGCGCCCCCCCCCCCGCAGGCTGTGTGGGGAGAAACGGGCCGGGCAGGGGGGTAGAAGGGCAGGGGGCAGGGATAAGCCAGGCTGGGCCCTGCCCTGTGGCCAGTGTGGCTCACCTGGGTCGGTGGCTGGCAGCCTGGACTGGCCTGGCTGCTGGCGGGGGAGGGGGGGGAGTCCTACGGAGAAGCCCAAAAAATGTCCCCCAGCGGCAAGAAGGACTCTGAGGTCCAGTGGGAGAATTCTGGGCGTGGCTGGGCCTTGGCCTGGACCTGGGACATGCGCTTATGGGCGGGGGGGGGGGGGGGGGGGGGGTTGAGCTGAGGCCGCAGGTGGGAGGCGGCGCTGTGGGGCCGGAACAGAGGACTCCTCTCCTCTCCCCGTTAGTCTATGCCGAGGGCCTGTCCCCGGAGACGAGGGTGAGACTCTGGGACTGGGGGGGCTGCCCCCAGGTCCTCCCAGCCCCGCATAGCGGGCCTTCGGGGGCTCCCCGAACGGCGTGGTGCCCGATGGCTTTTCACGCAGTGAGTGGGCTCCGAGCAGGTTCTGCGCAGGCGGGACATCCCCCCAGGTCTGAGCTGAGGGCTCCGGGGGCGCAGACCGCCAGGTCCTGCATGCAGTGGTGGGCAGTGGGGCGCGCCCGGAGGGTCCAGGCCCCGGACGGGCAGCCACTGCCATCTCCACCCGCGTGGCCCCACTCCCGGTTTCCGAGAGAAACCAGGAAGGCCACGTCGGCCGTGAAGCTCCCGGTGTGAAGGCGGGGCGGCCTGGTGAGCGCCGACAGCCGGCGGCCGGCTCAGCCTGCGGCCCTGGCTTCCGAGGTGTGGGAGGCAGCGAGGAGGCCGAGGCCCGCAGAGGGGGCTGGGCTGCTGGGCCGGGCCTGGGGGGCCCCTGCCCCCATCGGGGCATGGTAGCAGGTGCCAGACCCCGGCCCGGGCGTGGTTGTCCCCTCGCCCCGTGGCTGGGGCTGTGAGGCCCCGGAGCACCTCTGCCCTGAGAGGCTGTGCGGGGCAGGGGAGAGGCACCGCGGTGAGGGTGTGTATGGAGCAGCGAGCTGGCGGCGGCGGTGGGCACGGGTCTGCGTGTCTTCGTGTGATTGTGCCAGTCCTGGCATCACCTCGGCCGTGTCCGTGCGTGTGCGGAGGGAGCAGACCCCAGTGGCAGCTTTGTCACCGCTCACCCACCCACCCACCCACTCGTGCTTCAGTCACAGCCTCGCCTCAGGGCCTGGGGGCTCCAGGGAAGGCGGGGAGGGGGGCCGGAGGCGGGAGGTCGGGGGGGGGGGGAGGCGTGGGGGTGGGACTCGGCTCACCCCGCCTCTGCCCCCAGAGCAGCTCACGCTGGGTGCGTCGCGGGAGCCGGGGGGCAGCTGGGAGCAGGACTACGACCGGGCGGTGCTGCCGCTCCTGGACGCCCAGCAGCCCTGCTACCTGCTCTACCGCCTGGACTCCAGGAACGCCCAGGGCTTCGAGTGGCTCTTCCTGGCCTGGTCGCCTGACAGCTCCCCCGTGAGTCCCGGCCGCCAGCCCCGGGCCGGGGGGAGGGCCTGGGGCTGAGCGAGACGAGCCCATCCTTCGGGGGGTGGGGGGACGTGGGGACCGGAGGCTGAAGGACCAGGCCCTGGGTCGCCTGCAGCCCTCCTGGCCTGCGAGTCAGAGGTTGGCTGGACAAGGGCTCCCCCTGCTGTCCGAGCCGCCCACTGCCTCCTCGCCCCGCCCGGCCTCTGCGGGGCGTGGCGCCGGCGGTGAGACACGCGGGCCCGCTCAGGTGCGGCTGAAGATGCTGTACGCGGCCACACGGGCCACGGTGAAGAAGGAGTTCGGGGGCGGCCACGTCAAGGACGAGCTCTTCGGGACCACGAAGGTGCGCTCTGGCGGCCCGGCGAGCCCGTCACGGCCTGAGGACAGGCGGGTTCCGGTCAGGGAGCGGGTGGGCGCCGGCTGGGCCGTGAGCGGGGAGGGCTGCGGGCCCGGGCCGCGGGCTGGGCGCTGAGGGTGGGTGCCCGGGCTGCGGGCTGGGTGCTGAGGGCTGGGTGCTGAGGGCTGGGTGCTGAGGGCTGGGTGCCCGGGCTGCGGGCTGGGTGCTGAGGGCTGGGTGCCCGGGCCGCGGGCTGGGCGCTGAGGGTGGGTGCTGCGGGCTGGGTGCTGAGGGTGGGTGCCCGGGCTGCGGGCTGGGGGCTGAGGGCTGGGTGCCCGGCCTGCGGGCTGAGGGCTGGGTGCCCGGGCCGCGGGCTGGGCGCTGAGGGTGGGTGCCCGGGCTGCGGGCTGGGTGCTGAGGGTGGGTGCCCGGGCCGCGGGCTGGGTGCTGAGGGTGGGTGCCCGGGCTGCGGGCTGGGTGCTGAGGGTGGGTGCCCGGGCCGCGGGCTGGGTGCTGAGGGTGGGTGCCCGGGCCGCGGGCTGGGCGCTGAGGGCTCCCGCCATCGCCCCATCGCCCGTTGGCGCCTCTGCCTGGCAGGACGACCTCTCCCTGGCCGGCTACCAGAAGCACCTGTCGTCCTGCGCGGCGCCCGCCCCGCTGACCTCGGCCGAGAGGGAGCTGCAGCAGATCCGCATCGACGAGGTGGGGGGGGCCTGGGGTAAAGGGGGGGCGCTGGGGTGAGGGGGGGCGCTGGGGGTGAGGGGGGGGCGCTGGGGGTGCGGGGGGGGCGCTGGGGGTGAGGGGGGGGGGCGCTGGGGGTGAGGGGAGGGGGGGGCTGGGGGTGAGGGGGGGGCGCTGGGGGTGAGGGGGGGGCGCTGGGGGTGAGGGGAGGGGGGGGCCTGGGGTAAAGGGGGGGGCGCTGGGGGTGAGGGGGGGGCGCTGGGGGTGAGGGGAGGGGGGGCCTGGGGTAAAGGGGGGGGCGCTGGGGGTGAGGGGAGGGGGGGGCGCTGGGGTGAGGGGAGGGGGGGCGCTGGGGTGAGGGGAGGGGTGGGGCGCTGGGGTGAGGGGACGGGGGGCGTTGGTGAGGGGAGGGGTGGGGCGCTGGGGTGAGGGGGGGCGTTGGTGAGGGGAGGGGTGGGGCGCTGGGGTGAGGGGAGGGGTGGGGCGCTGGGGTGAGGGGAGGGGGGGCGTTGGGGGTGAGGGGAGGGGGGGCGTTGGGGGTGAGGGGAGGGGGGGCGTTGGGGGTGAGGGGAGGGGGGGCGTTGGGGGTGAGGGGAGGGGGGGTGCGTTGGGGGTGAGGGGAGGGGGGGGCGCTGGGGGTGAGGGGGGGGGCGTTGGGGGTGAGGGGAGGGGTGGGGCGCTGGGGGGTGAGGGGGGGGGGGCCCTGGGGGTGAGGGGAGGCGGGGGGGGCGCTGGGGGCGGGGCCTGTGCTCCCTGCGCCCGCCGTCGGGGGCAGGCGGGGCCGCTCACCGAGCTCCCTGGCCGCTGCCCAGGTGAAGACGGAGATCAGCGTGGAGAGCAGGCACCAGACGCTGCAGGGCCTGGCCTTCCCGCTGCAGCCGGAGGCCCAGCAGGCGCTGCAGCAGCTCCGGCAGAAGGCCATCAACTACATCCAGCTGGTGGGGGCGCCGCCGGACCCCGACGCTCCCCCACCTCAACCCGCCCCCCACCCCACCCCCCTCACACACGTGCAGGCGTGTGCACCCGTGTCCCCGGCCTGTCCACACAGCTCACCTGTGGGCCCGCGGGAACACCTGCCCGCCCCGCCCTGCCCCGCCCGTCCCCATTGGGTGCAGCTGCCGTGTGTCATGGACGCGCCCTGTCCCCTGCCCTGTCCCCGCTCATGGGCAGGGACCTGTGACAGTTCCCCCGCCTCCGCCCGCACACTGTACCCCTGAATCCGCTGACTCCTTAGCTCTCAGCCCCTTCCTGTCCCAGACTCCCCCTCACCCCCTCCTCACCCTCAGCCCCAGGCAGGCCCCCGCCCCTGTGGTCCAGGCTGTGTGTGTGTGTGTGTGTGTGTGTGTGTGTGTGTGTGTCCCGGGGCCGAGGGGCCTCCTCTCCAAGCGGCCTGGCGTCTGGGGGGGGCTGGTCCTGCCCATGGCTGGGGGCGCCCCCTCTCCCTTCCCAGGGGAGTGGGCCGGACCCCGTGGCGGGCGGGCGGCGGCCGGGGCACTGCCTCACTGGGCCTCGCCCCCCGCCCTCGGCAGAAGCTGGACCTGGAGCGGGAGACCATCGAGCTGGTGCACACGGAGCCCACGGACGTGGCCCAGCTGCCCGCCCGCGTGCCTCGCGAGGCCGCCCGCTACCACTTCTTCCTCTACCGGCACACGCACGAGGGCGGCGCGCTGGAGTCCGTGGGTGAGCGGCGGGCGGGGGCTGCGGGGCGGGCTGCGGGGGGCAGGCTGCCGGGGGCCCCCCCGCTCACCGCTCCCCGCTCCCCCCCAGTGTTCATCTACTCGATGCCCGGCTACAAGTGCAGCGTCCGGGAGCGCATGCTCTACTCCAGCTGCAAGAGCCGCCTCCTGGACTCCGCGGAGCAGGACTTCCGGCTGGAGATCGCCAAGAAGGTGGGCGCCAGCGTGTCCCCCGGAGCCGCCTCTGCCGGCCGGGCGAGGCGCTGGAGGGCAGGGCCACTGCTGCCTGTTGGAGGGGCGGGGGGCCGGTCCAGGGGAGAAACGGGGGGGCCGGTCCAGGGCTGCCCCGCAGGCTGATGGCCTGGGCGGGCCCGAGCTCTGGCTCCGTGCCTCCTGCCCAGGCTCGGAAGGCGGGGGGCCGGGAGGCGGGGGGCCCGGGAGGCGGGGGGTCCGGAAGGCGGGGGGCCCGGAAGGCGGGGGGCCCGGAAGGTGGGGATCCTGGAAAGCGGGGGGCCCGGAAGGTGGGGATCCTGGAAAGCGGGGGGGCCGGAAGGCGGGGGGACCGGAAGATGAGGGATCTTGGAAGGCGGGGGATCCTGGAAGGTGGGGGGTCTGGAAGGCGGGGGTCCCGGAAGGTGGGGATCCTGGAAAGCAGGGGGCCCGGGAGGCGGGGGGCCCGGAAGGCGGGGGGTCCGGAATGCGGGGGGCCCGGAAGGTGGGGATCCTGGAAGGCGGGGGTTGGGGGGGCCCCCCGGAAGGCGGGGGCCTGGAAGGTGGGGATCCTGGAAGGCGGGGGATCCTGGAAGGTGGGGGGCCCGGGAGGCGGGGGCCCGGAAGGCTGGGGTCCGGAAGGCAGGGGGACCAGAAGGCGGGGGGTCCAGAAGGCGGGGTGGGGGGGGGACCGGAAGGCGGGGGACCAGAAAGCAGGGGCAGCAGGTCGTCCAGGTGGGGGTCGGTCGGGAGGAGAGGAGGGGGTACCCGGGAGTGAGGTGGGAGTCTGGGTCCCTCACCGGGGCTGACACGGCGTGCCCCTCGCAGATCGAGATCGGCGACGGGGCCGAGCTGACCGCCGACTTCCTGTACGACGAGGTGCACCCCAAGCAGCACGCCTTCAAGCAGGCCTTCGCCAAGCCCAAGGGCCCGGGCGGCAAGCGCGGCCACAAGCGCCTCATCCGCGGCCCCGGGGAGAACGGCGACGACAGCTAGAGGCGCCCGGGCCGCGGCCGTCACTGCGGGGCCGCCGCCCGCCCGCCGCCGCCCGCCGCCGCCTCCCTCCCGCCGCCCGCCTGCCCGCCGGCTCCGGCGGGGGCCTCGGGGCGGGAGGGCGGTGGCGGACCACGCTTGCTGCTTCCAGGGGCCACCGGGCTGGCGTTGGCTCCCCCGTGCTCTCCTGCCCCTCGTCCGTGTGCCCGTCCGTGTGCCCGCTGTCCGGGGCCCTGCGTGGCTGCCTCAGGGCCTGGCGGGAACGTGGTCCCCGAGGGAACTGAGACCAGGGCCTGGCGCAGCCCAGAATCCTTTGGCCACAAGGGGTGGGTCCGTCAGGGCCGGGCAGGGTCACGGTGGGGGAGATGGTTGGATGCTGTATTTTTTAAAGAATAAAATATTTTTAAATCAACACCCGAGTCTAGCCCGGGGGAGCCCCTGGCCCTGGGCATGGGAGGCCCTGTGTGTGTGACGGCCCCGCCCCCCGCGGGAGGTGCCAGGAGAGTGTCTGGGTGCAGGGGCGCCTCCTCGGAGGGGTCTGCCTGTGGTGGGGGGCTCAGCGCGGGAGGCGGCACCTCCATGGCCAGGGGGGCCGGTGAGCGGGTTTCCTACGGCTGCTCCGAGTTCCCCAAACCTGCTGGCTTGGCTATTTTTGTTGAGTTCAGAGAGGAAGGAAGAGGGAGAGAGATTGAAACATCCATGAAAAGAGAGAACCACGGATCATCGGCTGCCTCCTGCAGGCCCCGCACCGGGGATGGAGCCTGCCACTGGGGCAGGTGCCCCGACCAGGAATCGAACCATGACCTCCTGGTTCACAGGTCAACAGATCGAGGCTCAGCCCTCTGAGCCACGCCCGTCAGGCCAAACTTACTGGCTTCACACAACACACGTGCACTCCCCGGCAGTTCTTACACGCGGGAGTGCGTGCAGGGCGAAAGCCAGGCGTGGGCAGGGCTGGCCTGGAGGCCTCAGGGGACAGTCCGCTTCCACACCTGTTCCTCGGCCCCTTCCTCCCCCTGCAGAGCCTGAGGCAGAGCGGCTGCTTCCGAAGATCGGCTTCCCCTTCCTCTGCCTGGAGGACGGCTCTAATTATAGCCACTTCCCTTTCCTGGTGCTGCAGGGCCTCTCCTCTCAAACCCGGGACTCTGCCTGTGAGGCCCTCTCGTGGACTAAATTCTCAGGCCAGGCAGTGGGATGCGGGGGGAGGCTCTCTGGGGGGCATTCCTCGGCCTGCCCCGCTGGGGAGCTCTGCCCACTGGGCTTCCCGACCTCAGCGGAGCTGGGCTCTGGCGGGTGCGTTTGGGTGTCCAGCCGGTGTGTGTGCATGCATACGCAGGCTTCCCTGGCAGCTCATGGCCACCTCGGGACCTGGGTTCTGCCCCCAAGGCAGATGGTGGCTGCTGGAAGGGGAGAGGTCCTGAGTCTTTGGTCCCCGGGGTCCTGGGGAGGGGCTCAGCGGGGGGTTCAGGGGTGAGGACCCCGGTCGATGGCGGTTCAGCCACGGACCTGGCACTGTCCTGTCTCCTGTGGCACAGCCTGGGCGTGGGCTCGGGTCTGACCCCTCCCTGCAGCAGCAGCCGAGCCCGCCTCCCCCTGCAGAAGCCCTTTGCGTTCACTCAGCATCACTCAGCACCTCTGTCCTGCGGGGGGCGGGACAGCCCAGGCTCAGCTGGCACCGGGTGGGCCCTGGGATACAGACAGAACAGGTCCCACGTGCCAGCGGGCAAGAAGACTAATAGGAAACGCAAAAGCAAGGAAATGGCATGCTGATCGGTAAAAACTTAAAAAGAAAACAGCCAGGCTGAAGCCGGTGTGGCTCAGTGGATGGAGTGTCGGTCTGCGGACTAAAGGGTCCCGGGTTCAATTCTGGCCAAGGGCATGTACCTTGGTTTTGGGCGCATCCCCAGCAGTGGGTGTGCAGGAGACAGCTGATCGATGTTTCTCCTCATTGATGTTTCTAGCTCTCTATCTCTCTCCCTCTCTGTAAAAAAATCAATAAAATATATTAAAAAAAAAAAAAAAGAAGAAAGAAAGAAAGAAAGAAAGAAAGAAAGAAAGAAAGAAAGAAAAAAGAAAACAGCCAGAAAAGGGGCTTGGCCCAGGTTGAAGGTTTATTTTTTTTATTTTTATTTTTTTTAATTTTCATGATCACCCTTTTTTGATTTTTTAAAAATATATTTTATTGATTTTTTACAGAGAGGAAGGGAGAGAGATAGAGAGCCAGAAACGTCAATGAGACAGAATCCTCGACCAGCTGCCTCCTGCACACCCCCCACCGGAGATATGCCTGCAACCAACGTACATGCCCCTGACCGGAATCGAACCCGGGACTCTTCAGTCCGCAGACCGACGCTCTACTGCTGAGCCAATCCGGTCTTGGCAGGTTGAAGGCTTAGACGAAGGGCAGGGAGGCCCGTGTGAGAGGACGTGAGGGAGGCGACGGAGGGGACGGAGGGTCTGAGAGCAGAGCTCCAGGCAGAGGGCCCGGATGCTCACAGGCCCCGGCGGGAGGTGCCCAGGTGTGTCCAGGCCGGCACAGGAGGGAGGCCACTATGTGGGTGCGACTTTGGCTCCAGAAAGGGTCACAGAGGGGCCTGAGCAGGGGAGGGGGGCCTCCTGTGACTTGGGGCCCATGGGAACAGGCGTGGGCGTGGGTGTGAGCACAGAAGCCGGCCACCCGTGAGGCGAGGCCGAGGTGCTGGTCTAGGCGAGAGATGGCGGGTGATGGGCAGGAGCCGGCGGGCCTGAGAGTGGAGCCCAGGGCCTTGCTGAGGCCGGGGACCCTGGGGCTCGGGGCCGGGAGCGGGCAGAGCCCATTGGGAGCCGAGCCAGGCGGTCCGGTGGCCCAGCCGGGCTTATGCTCTGACTGGCACCCGGACGTGGGGAACGCAGGGGGGCCCCCCCTAGAGGGAGTAGCGGGCTGGGGTGCAGGTGCAGCCGGGGACGCTCAGCTCCCCACCCCAGGCCCCCAAGGCCTCTGCCAGGAAGGGCAGGTGCAGGGAGGGAGCGCCGGCCGGTGGCCGCCTGAGGGCATGAGGGTGAGAGGGGAGGCCCCGGCAGGTGTCGGCGTGCCCTCGAGGCCTGGCACTGCCCCGCTGCCAGCTCCTCGGGGAGCATCGCCTGGCCGGGGCCCCGTGGCTCCCAGGGTCCCCGCAGACAGGTGTGAGGCCCGGACAGACGGCGGCTTGCCGGGACAGGCTGGGGCGAGGGAGGGGAGTGAAAGAGGAAGGAGGGCTCCGTCTGCCATCTGACTATGCAAATGGCCTGACTCATCGCACGCCCCCCGCCATGGCAGGGAGGGGGCTGGCGGTTGTGAAAGTCTCACTTCCTCTGCTGGCAGCAGTCGCAGCAGGAAGGGCCTGGCCGGGCGAGACCCTCTGGACAAGCCCCCTCTCCTGGTCATGGTAGGACGGCCACCCTTGGCCGGGGAGGGGACAGCGGGGACGGAGGATGGGTGGGGAGACGGGTGGGCTTGGCAGTAGGGGACAGTAGGGGACGCGCTGTCACCCACATGGCCCAGGGCGTCCCCTGGGCCCCCCAGACATCAGAGCAGAGCCCGGCTCTGAGCAGAAAGCCCGACCCATTGGGCGGACGAGGAGGCTGAGGCCGAGGGCTCCCTCCGAGGGGCCCAGAGGCCAAGGCAAAGCTGGGTGCCCAGGCCTGGCCCTGACCCGCAGCAGGTGCAGGCTCCTGGGCCGAGGGGAGGGAGCGGGCACTGCCCACCGGTGCCCAGGCCCTGGATGGTCCCCAGCCTGGATCCCAGCAAGAGACCCTCATTCCTGCCGGGTCTTGGCCAAAGGGGGTGAGGGGAGGAGGGAAGCAGCGGGCGGAACGGGAAGGGCTCCTTGCTCAGGAGAGAAGAGCAATAGGCTGAGGATGGAGGGAGAGTGGGGGAGCAGAGGGGAAGCCTGGGGCCTGCAGGCACCCGCCTGGCTCTCGTGCAGCTGGGGTTTGGTTCAGAGTGAAAGTCTGGGCCATGCGTCTGGGTTCCGGGTCTCAGGAGCGGTTCTGAGTCCACGCTGAGTCCCCGGCCCACGTCCAGGTTCCCCATGAGCCTTGGAGGTGGGAGGGGGGTGGGCAGAGAGGCGGGATCCTCCCTGGGGAGACCTGGCTGGGGAGGTGAAGCTGGGCTGGTACTCACGCTCCCCTCCCCCCTCCAGGGCCCCTGCCATGGCGCCCTGCTGCCCCTGTCCCTCCTGGTTCAGGCCCAGGTGCTGGCCCTGGCCCGGGCCCAGGGCGCCCTGCCCGCCTTCCTGCCCTGCGAGGTGCAGACCCCCAACCACGTCAACTGCGAGTGGCTCTTCCTGACGGCCGTGCCCCGCTTCTCGGAGTCCTCGCCCCGGGCCAACGTCACGAGCCTCTCCCTGCGCTGCAACCGTATCCGCCACCTCCACGACCAGGACTTCGCCCACCTGACCAGCCTGCGCAAGCTCGACCTCAAGTGGAACTGCCCGCCCAGCAGCCTCAGCATCATGCACTGGGCCTGCCACATGACCATCGCGCCCCGCACCTTCCTGGCCGTGCCCACGCTGGAGGAGCTGAACCTGAGCTACAACAACATCACCACGGTGCCCGCCCTGCCCGCCGCCCTCCGCGCACTGTCCCTCAGCCGCACCAACATCCTGGTCATCGACGCCGCCAGCTTCCGCGGCCTGCACGCCCTCTCCCACCTGTACGTGGACGGCAACTGCTACTACGAGAACCCCTGCGGGGGTGCCGTGCGGGTGGCCCCCGGCGCCCTCCTGGGCCTGCGCAACCTCACCCACCTGTCGCTCAAGTACAACAACCTCACGGCGGTGCCCCGCGGCCTGCCCGCCGGCCTGCAGACCCTGCTGCTGGCCTACAACCGCATCGTCGCCCTGGGGCCCGGCGACCTGGCCAACCTCACGGCCCTGCGGGTGCTGGACGTGGGCGGGAACTGCCGCCGCTGCGACCACGCCCGCAACCCCTGCGTGGAGTGCCCCCGGGGCTACCCCCGGCTGCACCCCGACGCCTTCCGCAGCCTGAGCCGCCTGGAGGGCCTGGTGCTGAGTGACAGCTCCCTCCACAGCCTGGACGAACGCTGGTTCCGGGGCCTGGACAACCTCACGGGGCTGGACCTGAGCGAGAACTTCCTGTACGACTTCATCACCAACACCTCGGTCTTCTGGCACCTGAGGAGGCTGCGCAAGCTCAACCTGTCCTTCAACTACCACAAGGGCGTGTCCTACGCCCACCTGCGGCTGGCGCAGTCCTTCCAGGGGCTGCGCGCCCTGGAGCACCTGGACATGACGGGCATCTTCTTCCGGGAGCTGAGCCGGCGCACGCTGCAGCCGCTGGCCGGCCTGCCCGCCCTGCGGAGCCTCCGCCTGCAGATGAACTTCATCAGCCAGGCCCAGCTCAGCGTCTTCGGGGCCTTCCCCCGCCTGCGCCAGGTGGACCTGTCCAACAACCGCATCAGCGGGGCGCCGGGCGCCGCGGCCGCGCGGGGGCAGGCGGACGCCGGGGAGGCGGGCGGGCGGCGGCGCCCGGGGGACCTCGCGGCGCTGGGCCCGGAGACCCCCCCGGGGCAGGCGGACGCCGGGGAGGCGGGCGGGCGGCGGCCCCCGGGGGACCTGGAGGACGCCCGGCGCTCCGGGGACTTCAGGGACTTCAGGCTGAGCTGCGAGAACCTCACCTTCACCCTGAACCTGTCTCGGAACAACCTGGTGACGATCGAGCCCGAGATGTTCGCGGGGCTGTGGCGCCTCGAGTGCCTGCGCCTGAGCTACAACAGCATCTCCCAGGTCAACGGCTCGCAGTTCGCGCGGCTGCCCGGCCTGCGGGTGCTGGACCTGTCCTACAACAAGCTGGACCTGTACCACGGCCGCTCCTTCACCGAGATGCCGCTCCTGCGCACGCTGGACCTCAGCTACAACAGCCAGCCCTTCAGCATGCAGGGCATGGGCCATAACCTCAGCTTCGTGGCCCGGCTGCGCAGCCTGCGCCACCTCAGCCTGGCCCACAACGCCATCCACAGCCGCGTGTCCCCCGAGCTCCGCAGCGCCACCCTCCTGGCCCTGGACTTCAGCGGCAACGCCCTCAACCGCATGTGGAACGAGGGGGACCTCTACCACCGCTTCTTCCAGGGCCTGAGCCGGCTGCGGAGCCTGGACCTGTCCCGCAACCACCTGCACGCCGTGCTGCCGCACAACCTGGCCAGCCTGCCCCCGGACCTGCAGCGGCTGCGGCTGCAGGACAACTACCTGGCCTTCTTCAACTGGAGCAGCCTGGCCCTCCTGCCGCAGCTGGACAGCCTGGACCTGGCGGGCAACCAGCTCAAGGCCCTGACCAACGGCAGCCTCCCCGCCGAGCCCCGGCTCCGGAGCCTGGACGTCAGCCGCAACCTCATCAGCTACGTGGCCCTCGGCTTCTTCGCGCCGGCCACGGCGCTGCGGGAGCTCAACCTCAGCCACAACGCCCTCCGCACGCTGGACCCCGCCTGGTTCGGCTCCCTGGTGGCGGCCGCCGCCCTGACCTCCCTGGACGTGAGCGCCAACCCGCTGCACTGCGCCTGCGGCGCGTCCTTCGTGGACTTCCTGCTGCAGGTGCAGGCGGCCGTGCCCGGGCTGGCCAGCCAGGTCAAGTGCGGCAGCCCCGGGCAGCTGCAGGGCCGTAGCGTCTTCGCGCAGGACCTGCGGCTCTGCCTGGACGAGGCCCTGTCCTGGCTCTGCTTCGGCCTGTCGCTGCTGGCCGTGGCGCTGGCCCTGGCCGTGCCGCTGCTGCAGCGCCTGTGCGGCTGGGACCTCTGGTACTGCTTCCACCTGGGCCTGGCCTGGCTGCCGCGGCGCGGGCGCCGGCGGGGCGCGGACGCCCCGGCCTACGACGCCTTCGTGGTCTTCGACAAGACGCACGCGGCCGTGGCCGACTGGGTGTACAACGAGCTGCGGGTGCGGCTGGAGGAGCGGCGAGGGCGCCGGGCGCTGCGCCTGTGCCTGGAGGAGCGGGACTGGCTGCCCGGCAAGACGCTCTTCGAGAACCTGTGGGCCTCGGTCTACGGCAGCCGCAAGACGCTGTTCGTGCTGGCCCACACGGACCGCGTGAGCGGCCTGCTGCGCGCCGGCTTCCTGCTGGCCCAGCAGCGCCTGCTGGAGGACCGCAAGGACGTGGTGGTGCTGGCCATCCTGAGCCCCGACGCCCGCCGCTCCCGCTACGTGCGGCTCCGCCAGCGCCTGTGCCGCCGCAGCGTGCTGCTCTGGCCCCGCCAGCCCAGCGGCCAGAGCAGCTTCTGGGCGCAGCTGGGCGTGGCCCTCACCAGGGACAACCGCCACTTCTACAACCGCAACTTCTGCCGCGGCCCCACCACGGCCGAGTAGGGGGCACGGCCCGGGACGCCCCGGCCGGCCTCGCCCTGCAGAGGGGCCCCCGCATGCAGCAGGCGCTCAGTCAATGCTCCTGGCAGGCCCCACGGCT